TGTGTGTGCACCTGATTTTTTTGTGTGTGTTCTTCCTGTGTTTTAAAAAATTCTCATTGTTTTATTCTCCCCCCACCTTCCCCCCCCAACATGGTATTTTCATGCCTATTAGTTCTTTTTCTGTGTCTCTATATGCCTTTGAGTATGTGTGCCTGTCTGTCTTGGGGTGTGTATGTGTGTTGGTATGTATGGAATTCTGTCTCTGGTTTGTGTGTATGAGTATCTCTAGGTGTCAATATATCTAGGTGTTTGTCTCTAGGGGGTTTATCTCTGTGAGTTTCTGAATTTGTTTCTGCCTCTCTGTCTGTCTCTGTCTCTCTGTCTCTCTCTGTATCTGTCTTTGGGTTTGCATCTAGCTCTGGGGATATATATATATTTCTGGGTTTATGTCTGCTTGTGGGTGTGTAGTTGGGTCTGTATGTTTCTGTCTCTGTCTTTCTGAGCCTTTCCCAATTCCTCTATATTCTAATGCCTTCTTTCTGTTAGTTGCTATTTATCCTGTGTATAGCTTATTTGTGCACACTTATCTGTTTGTCTTTCTCATTAGATTGTGAGCTCCTCTAGGGCAGGGACTGGGTATGTTGTCTTTTTCTGCCTATGGGAATGGGTATCTCTGTGTCTGGGTGTTGACGATCCGAGTGTCTCTGGATAAATGAGTCTAGTGTATATGTGTCTCTGTGTGTGCCTGTCTTTTAGTCTCTGGATATGTCTGTCCATGGAAATATGTTTCTCTGAGACTCTGTGTTTATGTCTATGTGTGTTTACCTGTCTCCTTGTGTGTCAGTGTGTATGTCTCTGAATATGCGTATGGTTGCAGATGTCTCTTGATGTGTTTGTAGCCATGTCTGTAGCTGTGTGTGTCTCTGTGTTTGCATGTATTTCTTTGGCTCTGTGCTTCTCTTGATGTGCTTATAGATACATATCCCTCTCTTTTTCTGTTTGTGCCTTATATGGCTGTGTGTATATATGTGCTTGTCTTGCTGCATTGGCTTGCATGGCTATATGGAGGTCTCTTGCTGTATGTGTGGTTTGTGGCTCTGTTTATGGGTGTCTCTTGTTCCATGTAGAGGTGTGTGTATGTGTGTGTCTAACAAGACCTGTGTGTGGTTTGTGATGCTGTGTGTGTGTGTGCCTTTTGCTGCCCATGTGGCATTGTATGTGTGTGTGTCTCTTTATATTGGCTTAAGTGGCTGTATAAATATTTGTACCTCTCTTGCTGCATGTGTAATTTATGTGGCTCTGTTTATATGCGTGGCTCTTGCTCAATGTATGACTTTGTGTATGTGTGCATGTCTTACTCTCCTTGTGGTTTGTGAGGTTCTGTGTGTGCCTCTCTTGTTCTATATGTGGCTTTGTTAATATGTTTGGATGTCTTGCTGCTGCTTGTGTGGCTTTGTGTAGGTGTGTGTCTCTCTTGATGCATGCATGGCTATGTGAATGTGTATACCACTGTAGGTGGCTTTGAATGGCTCTCTTGTTGCGTATGCAACTCTGTGCTCCTTATTTACTGACTGTGACTGTGTGTGTACTGCTCTTGCTACATGTGTTACTTTGTGTGTGCGTGTGCGCACCTCTCTTTTGACATGTGTATGGTTGTGTTCATGCCTGTCATCCAGTGTGTGGATGTATGTTTTTGTTTGCTTCTCTTGCCACATTTGTGGCTATGTGTATATATGTGCATCTCTTGAATGTGTGGCAGCGTGTATTTCTTGCTGCATACATGCTTTCTGTATGTATCTCTTGTGTGGCTGTGTTTATGTTTGTGTTTCTCATGCTGTGTGTATGTGTGTGTGTGTGTGTGTGTGGTCTGTGTATATTTCTCTTGCTGTATGTGTGATTGTGCTTATAAGCCTAGCTTGCTGCATATGCAGCTGTTGTGTGTATTTGTGCCTCTTTTTATGCAAGCATGGTTGTGTGTGTGTACGTATTTCTTTTTTCCCTTTTTTTCTTAATGTATTTCGATTTATCACAATCACTTTCATAAGCTTTTGAGTTTTAAATTTTTCTCCTCCTCCCTCCACCCCTCTTTCCCCAAGATGGCGCACAATCCAATATAGGCTATACATATACATTCCTATTAAACATATTTTCACATTACTCATGTTGTAAGGAGGAATTAGAACCAACAGAAGGAACCACAAGAAAGAGGAAACAAAACAGAAGGAAAAAAAAGAGCAAATAGTATGCTGCCATCTGCATTCAATTCCATAGTTCTTTCTTTGGATGTGGATAGCACTTTCTTTTCTTTGTCTTCTTTTTTTTTAGGCAGTTGGGGTTAAGTGACTTGCCCAGGGTCACACAGCTAGTTAGTGTCAAGTGTTTGGTCTAAGGCCAGATTTGAACTCAGGTCCTCCTGACTTCAGGGCCAGTGCAGTATTCACTATGCCACCTAGCTGCCCCATAGCATTTTCCCTCATGAGGCTTTTGGAGATGTCTTAGATCCTTGCATTGCTGAGAAGGGCTAAGTCTATCAAAGTTAGTCATCGCACAGTGTGGCTGTTACTGTGTACAATGTTCTCCTGGTTCTGCTCACTTTACTCAGCATCAGTCCATACAAATCTTTCCAGGTTTTTCTGAAGTCTTCCTGCTCATCATTTCTTATAGCACAATAGTATTCCATTACATTCATATACCACAACTTGTTCAGCCATTCCCCAAGTGATGGGCATCCCCTCAATTTCCAATTCTTTGCACCACAAAAAGAGCTGCTATGAATATTTTTGTACATGTAGATCCTTTCCCCTTTTTTATGATCTTTTTGAGATTCAGACCTAGTAGTGGTATTGTACAGTTTGATCACCCTTTTGGCATAGTTCCAAATTGCTCTCCAGAATGGTTGGATCAGTTCACAACTATACCAACAATATGTTAGTGTTCCAATTTTCCCACATCTTCTCCAACATTTGTAATTTTTATTTTCTATCATGTTAGCCACTCTGATAGGTATGAGGTGGTATTTCAGTGTTGTTTAATTTGCATTTCTCTAATCAATAGTGATCAGTGTGTCTCTTTCCTGCTGCCTGTGTGAATGTGTTTATGTGTGTCTGTGTGTGTCTTTTGCTGCATGTATGGCTATGTGTATGTACATCTTTTGCTGCGTACATGACTGTGTTTTTACATGCCTCTCATGTCACATGTGTGGCAACGTGTCTTCCTCCTGCGGCTGTTGGGCTTTGAACGCACGTGCATCTTTCTTGCTGTATGCATCTGTGTTTATGTCTGTATGTTTCTTGCTACATGTGTGGCTCTCTACATGTGTATCTTGTTGCATGTGGGCTGTGTGTACGTGTTTGCGTCTCTCTTGCTGCATGTGTGGCTTTATATATGTGTGTGGCTCTGTTTGTGTGAGTGCCTCTCTTGTTCTGTGCCTGGCTGTGTTTATACATAGCTCTTGCTACATGTGTGAGAGATACATACAGTGACACATGTAATGAGAATCATGGCTGACCCAGTCACACGCACAGCAAGAGTCCCGTACATGCACAGTCTCACACATGGTAAGAAATATTTACATACGCAGCTAGAGAGTGCTTTGCGTATGTTTTTGCCTTTCTTGCTGTATGTGTGGCTAGATGTATGCAGGTGTATCTCTTACTGCATGTGTGGCTGTGCGTGTATTTGTCTCTTGTTGCTGGTATGACTGCTTTTAGGAGTGCGTCTTGTTGCACAAGTGACTATGCTGCACATAGGACTTTATGGCTGTTTGTATCTTTCTTGCTATAGGTATGACTGTGTATATGTGTGTACCTCTCTTACAACATGTGTTTCTGTGTGAGTAGGTGTGTGCCTTTTTTGCTGCATGTATGGTGGTGTATTTGTGTCTGTTTTGCAGCATCTGTGTTGTGTATTTGTGTTTCTCTTGCTCCATGTGTGGCTGTGTATACTGTATGCTGCTCTTGCTGCTTGTGTGCTGATGTATATGTCTATCTGTCTCTTGCTGCTTGTGTGGCTGCGTGTCTGTTTAGGTGTCTCTTGCTGCCTGTGTAGCTATGTTTAGATATGCTTCTCTTTATGCATAAGTGGCTGAGTGTGCCCTTCTTGCTGAATGTGTGACTGTGTGTACCTTTTCACATGTGTAGCTGTATGTGTGTGTGTCTTGCTGCACATGTAGCTCTGTGTGTGTGTGTGTGTGTCTCTCTCTCTCTTGTTGCATGGGTAGCTATGTAGATGAGTTTCTCTCTGGATGGGTGTGTAGCTGTATGTATGTGTATGTGTCTATATATGTCTCTTCCTGCACATGTGACTGTGTGTCTGTTAAGTCTCTTTTTCTGCCTATGTAGCTGTGTTTAGCTATGCCCCTCTTTTTGCATATGTCCTGGGTGTGCCCTTCTTGCTGAACGTGTGCCTGTGTATACCTTTCTTGCATATGTAGTTGTATATAAATGTCTCTCTTGCTGCATGTGTGGCTGTGCATATCTTTCTTCCTGGGTGTGTGGCTCTTTTTATATGTACTTCTCTTGTTGACTGTGTAGCTTTTGTATTTCTCTTGTTCCATGTATGGCTGTGTATTTATATTTGTTTCTTTTGCTGAATGTGTGGCTTTTTGTATATATATGCTTCTTTTCCTGAATGTGTAGCTATGTGTGTGTTTGCTTTGTTGTTTGTTTGTGTGTGTATACTTCCCTTGCTTTGTGTTTGTATGCCTCTCTTGCTGTGTGTGTATGCTTCACTTGCTGCATATGTAGACTGTCTGATTGAGTGTGGTTGTACCTTTCTTGCTGCATGTGGGGCTGTGTGTGTGTGCCTCTGTGTATGTGTGTGAGTCTCTCACTGATGTTGTGTATGTTGCTATTTGTATATATGTACCTTTCTTGCTGCTTGTATAGCTGTGTGTATGTGTGTCTTGCTGCTTGTATGGCTTGTATGACTATGTATGTCTATGACTTTCTTACTGTAGTTGGTGACTGTCTCTCTCTATGTCTGAGTCACTGCCACAAAGGCTTTGACTGGTGTGGGAGAGACAGCAGATGCCCTCAGCTAAGAGCATTTCTCCCCTGCAGATAATTTTCCTGCCCACTCGGCTTCGGACCCCTCGAACAGCCACCCTTCTGAGCAGTGCTGGCAATGGCTATATTTATGCCTGGTCAATTCATGACAAAGGGGGCTTGTTGGGAAAATTCCAACCAGCAGGTAATCAGTATCAGGATTCAGTTGTTGGTGCCATGGTCAGTGATGAAAAGGACTGGATCTTAATAACTGGGGACTCCAAAGGCCACCTTAAGGTGAGTGTGGGGTTTCATGTTAGGGCTGAGAGATCAAAAAAATTATTTCAGTTAATTTATGGTCTCTTTCTCCCTTACTTTCAATTTTATTTTTTGCCAAGGCCAACCCCTCCTCGTATGCCCTCAATTCTGTTCATTCATTCATTCATTCATTCATTCATTCATTCATTCATTCATTCATTCAACAACTACTTTTTACTAATCCTTGCACTAGACTGGAGACCTAAAGACAAAACCAAGATTGTCCTCAAGGGCAAGAATTGTTTTTGTCTTTATTTTCCCAGTGCTTACTTAGCACGGTGCCTGGCACATAGTAAGTGACAAAATTGTGTTGATTGATTAAATACAAAATATGTACAAAACACATACTAATTTGGTTGAAGGGAACACATTTGTTACTGAGGGGTGGGGTGGGCAGAATAGGTTTTGCATAAGAGGTACAACTGAATTGCGCCTAGAAAGAAGCTAGGAATTATGAGTCAGAAATGAGGAGGGGGTACATCCCAGGCGAGGGAGGCAGTCTGTGCAAAGAAACAGAGACAGGAGATTGGAATCTTAGGTGAAGGGAACAACAAATGGGATGTTTAGACAGAAGTGTAGGGTGAGCAAAGGGGTATAAAGTATAATAAGACTGGGAAAGGTGGGCTGGAGTGATTGTGAAAGGACTTACTTGCCAATGGAAGAGTTTGTATTTTATCTTAGAGATAGCTGGTAGCCAATGCAGTTTCTCGAGTAGGGGAGTAACGGTAATATCTTTGCTTTAGGAGCATCCATTTGGAAGTTGTGTGGAAGATGGATTAGGGAAGGAAAAGGTTTGAAGCAGGGGGACCAATTAGGAGCCTTTTACAGTAATTAAGGGAAGTGATGATGTGGACTTAACTTAGGGAATTGATACATGAGTGGAGGGAGAGAAGGGGACAGATGTGAGAGATGGGCAAACATGAAGAAAGAACAGCCAAGACTTGGCAACTGCTTAGGCAGCTGAGGGACACAGTAGATAGAGCACTGGGCTTGAAGTTGGAAAGACCTGAGTTCAAATCCCGCCTTAGACACTACTTGTGTGACTCTGGGCGAGTCACTTAACTGCTTTTTGCCTCAGTTTCCTCAACTGTAAAGTGGGGATAGTAATGGAAACTGCCTGGTTGCAGGGCTTTTGTGAGGATCAGATGAGATTGTATTTGCAAAGTTCTTAGCATAGTATCTGGCCCATAATAGGCACTATAGAAATGCTTATTCCCCTCCTCTCCCTTCCCCCTTGTGACCCTAGACAAGTCACTTCATTTCTTTCTCAGGTTGGACTTGTGAGCCTCTATGGCACCTTCTAGATTTAAATCTGCGATCTAGAGATAAATGCCAGAATGTGAGGGGGAGGTAAAAACAAAACAGTTACAGTGAAATTGGGAACTGGACTTCCTGGAAGGACAGTACTGTCCTTGGAAGAAATAGAGACATTAGAAAGTATTTTTTTTCAAATAATGAAGAAATAAATGAAAAAGAATTAAGTGCTTGCTATGTGCCCAACCTAAAGCTTCAATCCTAATGGGAGAGACAATACACAAAGTGAAGTAGGGATGGGTCATTGGGCATAGGGTAGTTGACATGTCCTATCTGTAGCAGTGAGGATTTAGTTATAGTTCATAGAGAAGAGGAATGAGAGGAGGTTGGCAGGGAGAACATGGCTGAAGAGTGAGGAGAAAAATGAGGCATGGTTATTAAGACTTTCTTGAAATAGTGGTCTAGGAGAAGCATTCATCAATCAGGGCATAGGAGGGTCCAGGGTGGAAGTTTCTCTCGGGGTGGCAAGGCAGTTGGTAATGAGAAGATGGCCAGAGATCAGAAAGTTTTTGGGCATGTTGAATTTAAGATGTCTACAGATTATCCAGTTGGGAATGCCTAAGAGGTAATTGCTAATACAGGAGAAAGAGATCATGAGATTATAGATTTAGAAATGGAAGGGAGAAGGCCCAGAGAAGTTGTAAGTTTCCCAAAGTCACAAGGGATTGCCAGAGGGCTTTATATATAGATCTGGGAGTCATACACATGGAGATAATAGTTGAACCCATGAGATCACCAAGAGAGTATGTAGAGAGAGGAGGGCCCAGAACTGAACCCCAAGATACACTGCACGTGTAGTGGGAGGGACATAGATGCTGATTCAGCAAATGAGACTAAAGAGAGGCTAGACAGATGAGAGGAGAACCAGGAGAGAGCAGGGTCATGGAAATTCAGGGAGGAGAGTCCTCAGGAAAAGGGAGTGATTAGCAGTGTCAAATTCTACAGAGAATGCAAGAGGAAGTCCTGAAAAGCAGAGGCCATTGGACTTGGCAACCAAACATCACTGTCGGAGAGAGGAGTGTGAATGATGAAGTATGGAGACAAGGTATCAAGGAGTTAAAAAGTGACTGAGAGGAGAAAAACATGGAAGCAAGAAGTAAAGACAGTTTTCCCCCTAGGAATTTGGCTGTGAAAGAGAAAAGCTATAGAGGGGATGGTAGGATCAAGTGAAGGTTTTTAAGTAAAGCTGGCCTTTTTGGAGATCCTCAAAAAAGGACTTGGAGCCAAGGAGGGCAGAGCTACCTTTGGACAGGCAAGCCCTTCTTCTAGTGTCCTTAAAGTCCCGAGGGAGTTTAGAATTTATCCAGGGGCAGTTGCCAAAATGCTGTTGTTTGATCCTAACCTTGAAGCTGCCCGTTAGTGAAAAGATCAAAGACTGTATGTCTATGGAGCTAATTTGCCTTTGTGGACTGACAGCAGTTCACCAACATCTCAACCAGTGCCAAGTTAGATGCTGCTTGCCAGAGATGGGGAAGAGCCTCACCAGCTATGAATCCAACATTCATTCTGAGCCAGGAAAGACTAATCAGCACCTAGACACCCTGTCCTGAAATCCATGTGATAGTAAACCTGGAAGCAGTGAGAGCCAAATGGGGCACCCAGGGAGCTAGGCTACAAGTCAAAGGCAGTGCTGCTGACAGTTTGGGATTTCCACCAGGCATCATGCCTGTGGTGCTTATCAAACCAACCTCTTCTGCCTCAGCTGTCTCTGCATGATTAGCAGTGAGAGCAGATGGTTGACGAGGGACTGAGAAAAGCGATATAAGCCAGATTTGAGCTCTGGAGACGAGTCTTCTTGACTCCAGGCCCAGCACTCTCTCCACCGCACCACCTGGCTGCTTAAGCATGCTGTTATTTTTAAAGGCTTGTCAATGGTGTATTGCTGGTTTGCATTGTTTGCTCTTATGCATATTTGCTTGTGGATATGAATGGATATGAATGTACTGTTGTGATATGTACATGGAATGTGTCTTGTGTGTAGTTTAGATAGGTAGTTTCTCAAACAGCTTGTCAATTGATGCTGTGAATTGTGCTGAGTCTGTTGTATGTACTATTGGTGCACATTTCCTGTGAGTGACACCTTTGAGATGATTACCTAGGTGCTAAGATAGTTATCCTTATACTTTGAGGTGCTGATGTTTACTTTGCTGCTTTTATTGGAATTTGAAAGAAGTTAAGTTTATCACGAGTGATTTTCAAGGGATTTTAAAATGTTTTAGCTTGGGGGAGAATGTTACCAGCCTTTTTAAGAGCTTCCCCAAAAAGGGATTATACAGAAAGCAAGGAAACAGAGCTGCTGCTAGGCTGTCCCTTTTCAAGCCTCCTCTTAGCTCTAAGGACCATGGGGCTTCAGACTTCACCTGAAGGCAAACTGTCCAGAGTATTATTGCTTGACCCTGACTTTGGGGGGGGGGGAAGTTGGGGGAGAGGCAGCAGAAAAAGCCAAGCAAGAGATGGAGAAGCAAGGAAGGAGGAAAAGAAACTGATCATAATGAGTTCAGGCTCACAGGGAGATCCTATATGCTGAACTCTACCGTGGGAGGTTGAGCTGAGTGATGTTAGGTATTTCCATTCCTCAGCAACAGAAAATGTCAGACTCATCCAGCAAGTATCCACAATGTAGGAATGGGTACTGTAGGTGAGGCTATCTTATGTTGACTCTCCCAGTGACTAGTACTTTCTTTCCTGGCCATGAGACTTATAACTGAGATCTTCACCCTTTGTTCAGGGATGTGGCTGGAGCTTTGAGGGCTTGGATTTGGGAGGGAAAAGGGGCAGGGGCAAGGGTTTGGGTAGTAAAAACCTGTAGTGAAAATGGATTCAAACAGGATTACTAACCCAACCTCTGGTTCCTAGATCTGGGATATCAAGGATTACTGTAGGCTGGCCAGTGAACAGAAGACATTCTCTGTCAGAGAAGAAAGAGTTGCTCAGGAAAATATTTACTGGAATTTAACTCGTGCGGGCAATCGAGTGGAAATACAGCAGGAACCACTGGAAACTGAGGAGGTAGGAGGGATTCTGGACGAATATTCCCCTGGTTCCCATTAATAGTAAAGTGTTTCTGGTCCCATTGAGGTGCTAAGGATGGGACTAGAAAGGGGTGGGTGGGACTCTAGTTCCTTTGTGTTTCATTACCAGTTGCCACATCTCTCTCTCTTTCTCTCTTGCAAAGTACTTTTCAAACCTTAAAGTGTTATATAAACGCTTGCTATTATTATACTTTTTTTTTCAATGAACAAGCGTGTATTTTTTCTCTCTCTCCTCTCCTCCCCCTCCTTTGAGGTGATGGTGGGGGACAAAATTTTTGGAGAAATATACATGTCAAGCAAAATAACTTCCTACTTAGGTCATGTTAAAAATATGTCTTGTTCTGCTTATTTAAGCTATTCCTTCTTCATCAAGAGGTCAGCATTCTTCATCATCACTCCCCTGGAATCTTGGTTGGTCATTGCATTTGATCTGAAGTCTTATCTTTCAAAGTTGTTAGTTTTTATATTGTTGTTATAATATAAATCATTCTCTTGGTTTTACTCACTTTGTTCTGTATCAGTTCAAAGTCTTCCCACGTTTCTCTAAAACCTTCTCTTTTTTTGTTCCTTACTGCACAATAGTATTCCATTATATTTATATGACATAATTTGTTCAGACATTCCCTAGTTGATGGGTATTCCCTATGTAGTTTACAAATTATCTGTTACAGGCATTCTGTTAAGCAGACTTTCTGGTTAGGAATCTATACCTATGGAATCATAGATTCCTGAAACTGAAGTAATAATGATGGAAGCCTGAATGACTTTTTGTAAATTGAATTTTTCTAAGTTGAATCTTCATTTTTCTACTGTTTGACTAAATCAGGACAGCTCAGTGGAGCAGAGGATAGAGCCCCTGGCTAGAGTCAGGAAGACCTGAGTTCAAATGAAGATTTAGATACTTCCTAGCTGTGTGACCCTGGGCAAGTCACTTAATCTCTGTTTGTTCGGTTTTTTTCATCTGTAAAATAGGGATAATAATAGCACCTATCTCTTAGGGTTGTGACGATCAAAAGAAATGATGATTGTAAAGTGCTTAGCACAGTGCCTGGCTCATAATAAGTGCTATGTTAATGTTTAACTATTATTATTATCATTATTATTAAATACTTTTCAGAGCCTTGAGTTTCTTGGTCACTTGTTAAACATTTATGAATTACATATTGTATATACAATATTATCCTTTTCTCTTCTAGCCTGTCTATCAAGTGGTTAGTGAGGTGAGAAACCAGGGCATAGCAGGAAAAGAATTAGGAGTCAGAAAGCTTCAGAAGACCTAGCATGGGGGTTCTAGCTGATGCTTGCTAGCTAGCTTTGAGACTGCACAAATCACTCAGTTCCCAGGAAGCCTCATGTTGCTTATCTGTCCAGTAGAAATGGCAAACCTGGCTCTGCCTATTTCATGGGGCTGTCAGGATACAATTCTATAAGTGGATAGGAAAATATTAAGTCTTTTTTTAGTATACTTCAATAAGGTAGCAACGTTGTTGCTATTTAGTGATCCTCCAGAACTGGCTGGTCTTAGTCAATGTTTTTGTAAAGTCAATAGTTTCTGGGCATAGTGGTACACTCCTATAATCCCAGCAATTGGGGAGGCTGAGAGTGGCTCTTAAGCTTGGGAATGCTGAGCTGAAGTCAGTGGGCTACACAGTTCAGCTGCGCATACTAAGTTTGACATCACTGTGGGGAGTTCCCAGATTGCCTAAGTGGATGAACTGTCCAGGGCTGGAAAATAGAGCAAGTCAAAGCTCCTGTGCTGATCTCTAGTGGGATTTTGTCCTTGAGTAACCCCCTGCATTTCCAGCCTAAGGGAGCTGGGGTGACCTTTAAAAAAATAAAGTGAATTATTACCTTGTAGTTTATCTATTACATAGATCTGGATTTTTGAATCGTGGGTTTCTTTAAAGTAGGCCCACTTATCAATTTTCTAGTTATTCCAAGTTGTGTGTCTAGTTAATTAATAATTTTCTTTTCAGGACACAGATTTAGTTTGGAGTAATTCTTTTTGTATAAGTAGGCAGTAGATATATTAGTTTGGATAATTTTACTTTAGAACCTTTACTTTAGTCCTATTATATAATTTCATTCATTCTTTCAATGAATGTAAGTTTCTTGAGCTTAAGGTCTGTTTAAATATTGTCTTTGTATTTCCTGTGTTTAGCAATGTGCCTAGGATATAGTAGGCTTTTCACAAATGTTTGTTGACTGAACAAATACTTATTAAGTTTATTATGTGTTATACAGTTCCTTTGCTGGACATTCAAAGTAGAAAAGACAACGTTCCTCTTCCCAAGAAACATATCATCTAGTATTTTATCTTCACAAAAACTCTGGTAAATGAATATGGGTTATCTCCCCATTTTACAGATAAGTACACCAAGATTCAGAAAGGATGATTTGCATGTAACTTTACACAGGGAATTGGTAGAGCCAATCAGAGACTACAATTCTTGATTGATATCTTTAAATCAATGCTAAACTGAACATCATTTTTTTTTAAATTAAAGGGGCTCATCTCTTTGGGCTATCATTTTCCCCATCTGTAGAACAAGGGCATTGGACAAAGTGATTTTGGACAAAGGACCCTCATATCACTAATATTCTATGAACCATGAACCTGTCTGTCTCCCATAGGTCATTGGTAGCCATGTCATTTCCCTAATCCCTCCAGAGCTCCTGATCTCCTGGCAGGCTCATAATGATGGTGTGACTGATGTTGCCTTTGGGGAATGTTTCCATGTGATCATCAGTGCTGGTGCAGACTTTAATGTCAAGGCCTGGAAGATCTCTGGCGAGGCTATTGGTATGGATGCTTTTGGTGGGAATCTTTCATTTTATTTTTCAGTTAACAGGCATTTTACTTTATCTTCCTCCTACTCCCTCCCTTCAAAAAAAAATTGAAAAGAGAAGAAACATAAAACTCGTATTCCCCTAAAAAAATAGAAAAGAGAAGAAAAATAAAACCCTTGTAACAAATATGCATAATCAAGCAAAACACATTCCTGATTTGGTTATGTCCCCAAATGTGTATTTTACATCAAGATTTTTGTCCTTCAGTTCTTTGTCAGGAGGTGGGCACTATATTTCAACATTAGTCCTCTGGAATGATTAGAGTTCTTAATTCTTTAAAAGGTAAACAGCTTTAAACTGGTCTCCTGGTTCTACTTGCTTCATTTTACATCTCTTATAAGTCTTTTCAGGTTTGTCTGAAACTATTCCTTTCGTTTCTTATGGCACAATTTCATTACATTAATATACTATAATATTTACCTATTCTTAGGTCCTTTTGAATCCTTGGCTCTATTTGTCAATTCCCTTCACTCTGTCCCTGTTAGAATAATTGTTGCTATTTTGTGACCATTGTCTGTGGTGCAATGCTAACATGTAGCCATGGTCTATCAGTGTTATGTGATGGTGAATCACCAGGTTGTGATGCATGTATCCACATAATCTGCTCCTGCCCCTCAAACTCAATTTATTCAGCTCTTGGTTATCAGTTTCAATGGCCAGGAAATCATTAGCACAAATAAGCTGCCTCCCCCTTCCCTCCAGCTGATCCTGCCAAAAAATCCAAAATGCCCTACCACCAAGAATAATCCCAAACAAAACTAACACAAATAGTAATTCTATATGATCCAAAAATTATTTCTTATTTTTTTCTTGGAAATGAGTTGTATGACTCTTTTGGGAAGGATGTGTGTGTGTGGGCTTTCCTTTATAGTTTTGTCTCTCTAAGGGGCTCTTAATAACATCTTACATGTACAGGACATTTCACCATTTTCAAAGCACTTTCAGATTTATGACTTTGCTTCTTACAACTTTGTGATGACTTTAGGGCAGCGATTTCCCAAGTGTCCTTATTGATCTCTACCGGAGGAGTGCAGATATTTCAGAGGCTAATGCTGTGTAGTCATAGATAATTGGGGTTTTGTGTGTGATTCTACACACAAAAGTTTGGGGTTTGGTGTATGACTGCTGTGTACTTTTAAACATAACTTGTCTGGTCCTCAATGTCATAGCTTAAAGTCGTAACAAAATGGCAGCAGCATAACATAAGAGTCGAATGAGTAGCAGACAACAGGAGCCGATTTCTTTCCTTTTTTTTCCTCCCTAATTAGGATTTCAGGTTTTGATGGGAGTGAGGTAGGGGTGGAGAAGGAGCTTTTATTTGTACCCCAGAGGATTCCCCACTTTCCCTTTCTTCCCATTTCTAACCTAAAGTAATTTATGGAACTTAGCAATGTAAGTTTAGATAGGACACTGCATTGAGAGACCTGAGTTCTTCTCCCGCCTTTATTAGTAACTCATTTTGTGACTTTGGGCAAACCAAATTACCTTTCTGGGCCTCAGTTTCTTTTCAAAAATGACTCTCCTTGGTGTCCATTTCGGGATAGTTGTGAAGGTTAGATACAACAGGAACATTACTTGAAAAGTAGAAAGAGCTCTACAATCATAGTTATATTGTGGCTAAGACAACTTAGAAGATCTGGGAATGGGAGCCCCCAGCACAGACATTTTACTTGGGGGAAACTTCTGAACTGTCACTGGAGACCCCTCAGCACCCACAGCCTGTGTGCTCAACCTGGGAGAGAAAGGAGGGAGGGACTTGATTCCTTCTCTATTTATCAGTCACCAAGTATTTATTAATTGCAGACTATGTGTGTGCTAGGTACTATGGATACAAAGACTAATATATTTTCTTGTTGCCACCCCTAGTTTCCCCTTCCCCACATTGCTTTTCCTGTTAGAAATTTCATCCCATACCCCTATTTCCTTTTTAAAAAACATTATCAAACACTTCTTCTTCCTTCCACTGGAAACAAAAAGAGAAGAAAAACCTCTTGCATAGTCAAGCAAGACAGTGTGATATTGGTCACATCTAAAAAGATGTGTCTCATTCTGCATATTAGTCTATGACACATCTGTCATGAGATGGGTGGCATTCGTTATCATCTCTCCCCTAGAATCATGATTGATTATTACATTGATCAGAGTTCTTAAGTATTTCAAAATTGTTATTACAATTTTGATGTTATATTAGAATTTTTCTCCTGTTTCTACTGACTTTGTGTATCAGTCCATACAAATATTTCAATTTTTTTCTGAAACTATCTCTTCATTTTCTTAAAGCATAATAGTTTTACATTATATTTGTACAGCATAATTTGTTTAGCTGTTCCCCAATTGATAGGTACTACCTTATTTTCTAGTTCTTTATCATCACAAAAAGAGCTTTTATACACACACACACACACACACACACACACACTCTTCCTTAAATGGGACCTTTTCTTCTTTCTTTGATATCCTTGGAGTAGAGGGCTAATAAGTAGTGGCATTGCTGGGTCAAAAGGTATTATAATTTAATAACTTTTTTGGGCATAGTTCCAAATGGTTTTTAAGAATGGCCAGACCAGTTCACAGTTCTGACAATAAGTTGGTGTTCCTGTTTTCCTGCAGCTTCTCCCAACATTTGTTTTTTTACCTTTTTTGTCAGCTTTGCCAATTTGATAGGTAGGAGGCAGAACTTCATAGTTGCTTTAATTTGCATTTTTTCTAATTATTTTCATTTAGCCATAGCTGGTTTACATTTCTAATGTAAATATTCTAATGCAGTTAGGTGGTGCAGTGTATAGGGTATTGGGACTGGAGTCAGGAGGACCTGAGCTGAAATTCGGCATTAGACACTTACTAGCTGTGTGACCCTGGGCAAGTCACTTAAACTTGTTTGTCTCAGTTTCTCCACCCTTAAAATAAGCTGCAGAAGGAAATGGCAAACCACTCCAGTATCTTTGCCAAGAAAACCCCAAAAGAGGTCACGAAGAGTTAGACATGACTGAAAACAAAGTTTGCATTTCTTGCCTTGAGAACTGCCTGTTCATATCTTCTGGCCATTTATGAATTGAGGGATGGCTTTTATTCTTATGAATTTGAATCAATTTCTTATTTATTTTGGAAATGAGACTTTTATCAGAGAAACTTGCTGTTAATAGTTTTCCCAGTTAACCATTTCCTTCTAATCTTAGCTGAATTGGTTTGTATAAAAAACTTTCACATACTTTCCCCCCTCTCTATACTCCCTGGCCACTCCTTACATAGAAGAAGAGGAGTGTGGAAGAGCAGTGAAACCAGCTCCACTGGTCTATACTTGATGCAAAAAGCCTGCTCCTTTTATCTTCCCTTCACCCAGACCCCAATTACATTCTTACTCTTTCTTTATTTCCTTTTAAATTTTTCTTCATGATTCCCCTCCACCCCCAATTTAGAAATTTTTTTTTTGGTTATAACAGTCTTTACCCTAGATCTCCCTCTGTTTCATTTATCACCTTTCTTCTCTCCCCGTTTCCTCCTGTTTCCCTTTTGAGTTGATTGTATTCCTACAGCAAACTATTTGTATGTTTTATACATCTGTATTCTATCCTTCTTTTATGAGTTCAGATGAAATTGAAGTTCAAGTGATGTTCTCCTCCTTCCTAATTCGTAAAGACTTTTACTTGGGCCATCATAACAATTATATGAGATCCTCCTTCATTCCTCCCCTTTTCTTTCTTACGGCATCCTTCCCATCTTCTTTTATTTCTTCTTTTAAGATCATCGACATATAACAAAAACCTCTCCCAAGTGACGCCCTATGCGACTTCTGATGACATTGTAGTTCTTAGGGGAAGCTTGTATTATCCTCCCCCTCCCCCACTATTAGAAAGTAAGCACTTTTTTCTTGTAAAGGCTTTACCTCATTACTCACTTGTATTTACCTTTTATGTTTGTATGTCAAAGTTTCTATTGAGCTCTGTTCTTTTTATCAGGAATGCTTGGAAATATTAAAGTTCATTCAATAAAAGTCTGTTCTCCTCCTTATAGCATGATACTCAGTTTTTATGGGTAAGTTATTCTTGGTTGTAAACCCCTGTCTTCCACCTTTTGAAATACTGTCCCGTCTCTCTGTCTGTTTACAGTGGCGGCTGTTTAATTTTATGTGATTCTGACTGTGGTGCGTTGGTACTTGAGCTCTTGCTTTCTGGCTACTTGCCATATTTTTTTTTCTTTGACCTGGAAGCTCTGGGTTTTAGCTCTGATATTCCTGGAAATTTTCATTTTGAAGTTTCTTTCAGGAAATGATCAGTGGATGTTTTCTGTTTTCACTTTGTCCTCTGGTTCTAAAATACCTCGGCAATTTTCTTTGATCATTTCTTTAAATGTATTTTTGGTCATGGATTTCAGGTTAGTCCTATGATTCCTAAGTCATTTTTCTTTTTCTTTTTCTTTCTTTCTTTCTTTCTTTCTTTCTTTCTTTCTTTCTTTCTTTCTTTCTTTCTTTCTTTCTTCTTTCTTTCTTTCTTTCTTTCTTTCTTTCTTTCTTTTTCTTTCTTCCTTCCTTCCTTCCTTCCTTCCTTCCTTCCTTCCTTCTTCCTTCCTTCCTCTTCCTTCCTCTTCCTTCCTTCCTTCCTTCCTTCTTTTTCTTTCTTTCTTTCTTTCTTTCTTTCTTTCTTTTCTTTCTTTCTTTCTTCTTTCTTTCTTTCTTTCTTTCTTTCTTTCTTTCTTTCTTTCCTTTTGCTAGGCAATGGGGTTAAGTGACTTGCCCAGGGTCACACAGCTAGTAAGTGTGATGTGTCTGAGGCCAGATTTGAACTCAGGTCCTCCTGAATCCAGGGCCCAGTGCTCTATCCACTGTGCCACCTAGCTGCCCCCTAAGTCATTTTTCTTGATCCATTTTCTAGGTCAGTTGTTTTTGATAAGAGATACTTTGCATTTTATTCTATTTTTAAATTTTTTGATTTTGTTTTAGTATTTCTTGTTTCCTGGAACCAATAATTTCTTTTTGATCCGTTCTGATTTTTATAAAGTCTTTTACCTGAACAAAATTTTGTACCTCTTCTGGTAATCTGTTAATTCTCTTTCCAAGTCCTTCCTGCACAGTTCTCCTTCCTTTTTCCATTTTTTCCCCTCTATAACTCTCATTTCATTTGTAATATAATTTTAAAACCTCTTACATCATTTCTTCTAGGAATTTGAATTGATCTGGTGTGCAAGCTATGTTTTTCTTTGAGGCTTTGCTTTTAGGTGTATTAGGGTTATTTTCCTCTTGCAAGTTTGTATCTTGGGCATCCCTGCTATCATAATAGGTTTTTTTTAAATCTTTTTTTGTTTATTCATTCTTCCACCCATCTACTTTAGGCAACCTGGTGTTGCTGGCTTAGTTGGGGAGTTCTGGTCTTAGTCTCCAATCCTGGCCCCATGGGGAAATACCTTCTATCTACCTTCTCACAACTATCCCCAGCAGGACACTAAGTCCATAACCTGCCCTGCATGACCACAACATGGGGCTATGGGCACTGACACTGTGCTCCTAGTTCCTCTGAGAGACCCTAAGCTGGTGGCATGGGTTCAGGGTTGAATTTATAAATAGCTCTGGGCATCCCTGTGCTGCTACCTTAGCTCTGAGCTCTGGTGTTTTGAGTCACTGCTCTCAGCTACTCTGAGAGAGACCTTATACTACTGGTCTGGACCCTGGGCCCTATGCTATCTATGATTAGGTCTGGTCATGCCTGTGATACTGGCCTAGCTCAGAGCTCTGGGTATTGGGTCCAGAATTGTGGTCCAACCATATTTCATATTTCCTATGCTGGTCATTTGCCTGTAGGTTAAATTTTGATCTTGGAAGGAAAAGGTGACTCACTATAGTTTCTCCTTCAGTTTTCTAATTGCTACTGGTTTGGTGTTCTTTCTAGGTCATTGTTGGAGTAGTTGTGGTAGGAGCTGGGTTGTATTGTTTCTTTATACAGTACTATCTTGGTTTGATCAGCCCACTCCTATTTTCCAGATATTAAGTTGAAGCCCGAAGTGGTTATATGACTTGTCTAAATATATAGCAAAGCTGGAGCCATCTGACTTCTGATCTAGCTCTTTCAGAGCTTTGGAGCCTCAGATGAGAGACTGGTGGCCACTCTGAGAATAGGCAAATAGAGAGGGAATGGGGAAGCAGGTACAAGGGTTGAGAGAAGAAAGACTGGTGGAGGGGGGAAATGCTCCTCAGAGGCAGAGAGGGGTTGAGGGAGGATGGAAGGTTGTCAGTTCTAGTTACTGAACTGATTTGAGTTAAATCTCAGGAACCTTTGGCTTGTGCCTTTGGAGAAAGCTTGTGCCTGCAGGGAAGACTGACTTCTACCAAAAACCATCCATCACAGAGCTGATAACAGTGCCTGAGATAAAGGAAGTCCCTGAGTGGGAGTGAGTATACCAACTCCAAACTTCTCTAGACTAACAAGGGGGGAGGGTGGTGGCAGAAAGAAGTTCCCCTTTTCAAAACTGCAGGACCTTTACTTTGGTTTGGAGCTGAGATATATGTTCCAATATTCTAATGTTGAATCACAGAATGTCTCAGTCCGAAGATCCTTTAGAACATGGAATGTCAGGTTTGGAGAACCTGACTTCTTACTCACACATATGCATATATGTATATATGTATACATATATGTAGAGAGAGGGGAAAAAAAAGAAAAAGAGAAAGAGAGAGAGAGAGGGAGAGAGAGAGAGTGTGTGTGTGTCAGGCAGACTTGGAGAAGTTCCTAGAGACCATTTTGCTGAATCCTTTCACTTAACAGATAAAGATGCTGAGGTGGGTTTGGAGCAAAGAAACCTCCCATCCTCCCCTGCAAAGTGAAAAAGGATAAAGACTGAATCTGTGATTTCCTTGGTAAAGGGAATTCCTGGATGAGAGAACTCCCTCTACCAGGGAAGGATGGCACCTTCTCTATAATTTATAATCTTGGTATTGCCCAGGACACTGAGAAGTTAGTGACTCTTTTTTTCTTTTTGGTGAGGCGATCAGGGTTAAGTGACTTGCCCAGGATCACCCAGCTAGTAAGTGTTAAGTGTCTGAATCTGGATTTGAACTCAGGTCCTCCTGACTTTAAGGTCAGAGCTCTATTTACTGTGCCACCTAGCTGCCCTGAGATAGTGACTTTTTGAGGTTACACAACCAGTGTGTGTCAGTTAGAGATGGGACTTAAACTCAGGCTTTCCTGGTTCCAAATCCAGCTCTCCATTCACTGTGGGGTACTCTCTCCCATCAACTGATGTGACCACCTCTAAATCAGCTATATTTGCAGCTCAGTTCAAGAAGTATTTGGCTCACGCACCTTGTATGTGCCCATTTGCTTCTTGTCCCTAAGGGTTTGCCACCTTAGCTAAGCAAGACCACTAGCCATGGGAACTTAACCATCACATCCTTCCCTGCACAGTATTAATATGAAACATATGGTACAGACAGTAAAGGCTGCAGGCGTTTAGATAAGGGAGAGAGAGATCATGGTGGGCTGAACTGGGAAGATTTCAAGGAGGAAGTGAGGTGAGCCTTGGAAGTCAGGTGGCAAGATTTGGATAAATGGAGTGATGTGAACACCCCCCCCACCCCCAGGAAAACCTCTAGAACCTGTTTTTAAAGGACTGCTCTCCTTTTCTAGGCTTTTCCTGCAAGGTTGGCCTGGGGAGGGGTATTAGGAGGGATTGGTTACTGAACCTGAATCATTTCTTCCCTAGCAAAGAAGATGAATACACTAAGGTCCTGATGCAGCAGCGCAGGGATCAGATGGAGCTGATGTCTCTGCTGCACAGCAAGTCTCCGAAGGCCATGGTCAGACTGAGGCAGATGGCTGAGCAGAGTGTGCTGGGGTCTGTCAAAGCTGGAGAGGGGTTTGAGGACACTTGGAACAAGTGGAAGACATCTGGGGTGCTGGTGAGAGGGGGGCTAGGTCTTCGGGCTCTTGAGGAACCCCAATTACCCTTTTAAATCTTCACATGTACCTGTGGTTGTTTCAGAAAAGTGACATCGTTGGAAGCGCATATAAACCGAAGGAGCAGCCACGCCCGCCACCCACTCCACTCTTACCGCTGAAGTTTATGGCAGACAAAGAGGTCAGAATCCTAGCTAACCAATGTGGGACTGGGGGATGGAGAGGGAAGTTTCTAAGAGCAGAATGAAAAGAGAGGTAGGCATATTTGATGTCTGACCTGGGTGTGAGTGGGTTCTACCACTCACTAACTGTTATCTTAGGTAAGTCACTTCCCAAGACTAGAGATAACCTTCAGATTTCATCAGGTCTTTCCCTCTCTTTCCTGGCAGAACTATATTCAGATATTCAGATGACCAAGTAGAGAGAGAGGGAAAAAGAAAGAGAGAAGGAGAGAGAAGAGAAAAAGAAGAAAGAAAGAGAAATACTTTGGGATAAGACAAGTAGCCTCACAGGCATGGAGCACTGACTCATTGTTTCATCCACCAGAAAACAGGAGCTTATGCAAATGCAATAGCCCGAGTTACATTCCTCCTGAATTATTAAAGTAGGACTAATTGAAAACAATAGCAAAGATATAACTCGGGATGACTGTGTACTTATTCTTAAACATTAGTAGAGATCTGATGCTGATAAAAGTGATGGGGTGGGAAAGGTCCGGAAAGTAGGTTATGGGGCTTGATGAAGAATTGGGAGGAAGAATGGCAGCTGGCCAACTGAGTTAGTTGGTCAGGCTACAGTATAAGAGAGGAAATCCTAAGGGAGTATCCTGAGTTGGATTACCTTCCATGAACACTGTGGACTTCGAGTCCTATTTGTGTCTCATACCATCCTGCAAACTAGAGTCAATGAGAGCACAGTGAGGATTCTTTTTATTTGCCCTTGTTAGGGAATTCAGTATACCGATAGCTCCAGATGATTGAAACTTACCTCTCTGAACATGGAAACTTTTTATACTTAAGCGAGGTTTGAGCTGTCTTTAAGTTAATTTATTTATTTGCTAAGTGCCTATGGTTTGCAGGGTCTTGTATTAAATGCTATGCAGAATAGAAAAGCTTAGTTAGGATAATTCCTGTCCTTATAAAACTGTTGGAGACATAAACGCATAAGTATTGTGTTCAAGTCAGAGATTTCAAGGAATGCAGGCAAAGCCTGACACTAAGTTGAAATAGTTATGCGTTAAAAAAAATTTAAAAAAGATATATATGTGTGTATATATGCATGTATATATATATCTCTATATATCTACATGTATGGGTATGTACATATGCATATATGCACATGCACATATGTATCTAAATATTGATTTAGTGGATGTACTCACTTGGATAGGACATGTACTTCATTGGTATATTGGGACTCTACATTGGTGTGGTTTTGGGAAATAAAGCTGCATCCTATAACTGCAGCCCAGGCAACTGATATTGTCCAGGAAATAGGTTGGTTCTGGATGGCCCAAAGATGTTAGGGGTTATGCAGTTTTATGCTGAGGCAAACAGTGTTGAAACCTTTTGTAAATGTACCAATTTTAAGGAAAGCAAACCCCAGATACATCTGGACATATGGGTAGAATTCTTATAGGAGTTGGGCTACTTTCATGGATATCCATTACTTAATCTAGCTGTGCCTCAGAATGCTGTCCCACTTCCTGTGGTGTTGGCTAAAGAGGCCTAAATTAATAATTGTGCATTAGTGTATAATTAATACATAATTATGTGTTAATTAATTAATATGTTAATGAACTAATATATAATAAAGACAACTCACATTTCTTTAGACCTCTAAGTCTTACAAAATGTTTTCTTCACTACAACCCTTTAAGATATTATTATTGTACCATTAGTGACTGTCAGAATCAGGTCTTGGACTTAAAACTCAAGTCTTTGGGCCAAGTTATGTGTGAGACCTGAGGGGGTGTGGGCGTTAACCACCAGGAGCATCTGGGAGGGCTTCAAGGAGAGGAAGGCGTTTGAGTTGGGCTCCAAGGGTAGGTAGAAATTCTATGGATATGGAAGGGTAGTGGATAGGTAAAACATTTTTTAATCACTCTGTTTCAGACCTTGGGGATACAAATATAAGTGAACAAGAGAGTTTTTGCTTACAAGAAAATGACATTCTAATTTAACTCATAAAGAGAAGCTGGAAAGAGGGGGTTGAGTGGCAGCACATTGTGGTGCCTAGGAAGTGGCATAGGAAAGCGAGACAAAAAGCTCACCTATAAGAGCCCAAAATTCCAGGGGAAGAGTACAGGGAATAAAAAATGGGAGCAAAGGTATGGAGGCAAGAGAATTTAGGACGTTTTCTGGGCATAGAGACTAGATCAATTTGGCCAGCCTGTATAAGATGAAACTGTAAAGTTAGGGTGGTGTCAAGTTGTGGGAGGCCTTGAATGCCAGGCAAAGGAGTTTGTACTTTATGGGTAATAGGGAGCCAATTAAGGTTTTTGAGTAGAGGAGTGACATGAGTAGAGTGAAGGATATGAAAAATTTTTTTGGCAGCAGTATAAAAGATGACTTGGAAAAGGAAGAAAGTGCATGTAGGAAGACTTGTTAGGAAGCTCTTATAGTAGTCCAAGATGGGTGGTAATGAGGGACTTGAATTGTGGCAGTAGGGAAAAAAGAGGAAGGATGAGAGAGATGATACAGAGGTATAATCATCAGGATTTGTTAACTCATGGAGATTAGAAATGAGGAAAAGGGAAAAATTAAATATAACCTCAAAAGTTCTAAATTAGAAAACTTTTATAATGTATCATGTTTTCTTTTTTTAATGTATTTTTATTTATTTCATTAAATATTTCCTAATTGCACATGAGATTTTTTTTTAACATTCATTTAAAAATTTTTTTAATTTGAAATTCCCTCTCTCTTGCTCCCCCCACACCCCTTGAGAAGGCAAGCAATATGATTTTGATTATACAGGACACACATTTTCCTAAGCAGAGGATATGTTTACCATTTCTTGCTGGCTCTGAGTAGTAATTGTGAATACCAATTATTATTCTGGGTTGTGCTATTCTCATGGGCTATTGCTGTGTGTGTATGGTTTCTTGCCCTGACACTTAATGGGTCCTGCCTTCTGGACTTTGTTTATTTCTTCTGTTTTTTTTTCTGTTATAATTTTTCTCTTTTCCTCATTGTCTAGCTGTCATCTATCACTTCTCACTGATCTCGGTGAATTGCACAACAATCTTTAATAGCCCTAATGCTTTCTTGTAATTTGCTTAAAAAATATCTACCCTGAGTGTGGAAATGAGATTTCTAAGCTTGTTAGTACAGCATGCACAATAAGTCACAGGAGCACAGAATGGAGAAATGGGATGGACTTAGAAATCACTTTGTCTAGTTCTCTCATTGTATAGATGAGGAAACCAAATCGTAAAGAGAGCAAATAACTTGCCCAAGATCACACAGCAAATAAGTGGCAAAGCTGAGACTTTAACTGAAATTTTTAGCCTCTAAATCCAGAGTTTTCTACCAAATTGTGCCGCCACAATAAATTCTGAGTGGAGATCTATTATTTCCTAATACCAGAAAGTCCCCAACTCCTATTGAAGGGGAAATAAAATATTAACAAACTATGCAAGGACGTGGTAAAGCTGTTACTTTACTATTATACTTTACTATGTTGCTATTCTAACAACTACTTGCTGTCCTTGGATAAGAGATCCTGCAGTTTTGTCTAAAAGGACTTTCACAATTGTAAAAATATTTGGTCATGTCCCCTTGTCTGCTGTCCAAGTTTGATAATAAATCCTTCCAATTGTATTCTAAAGACTCCCCTTCTCTCCCTTGAATGGTTCCCCTCTTTCTTTATCACTGTCCTGTAAAACGCTTATCTATTCTAAGTTGTTGAAGAATGTGACTGATTGGTGGTATACTGAAAGGTTATAAAAGCCATAGCCATACCCTAGGAAATTGAATCAGTTATCAGTGAGCTCAGCACAATAATAAATCTCCTTGTTTTCAGTTTGGTTTCCTATCTTTGCCCCACATCCAGGGATGAGTATGTCTCTCTCCAGAGATCAAGAGAATTGCCCAATGTTGGTCCCCCTGCACCCTAGGTCCTCTATGCTGATTTTTTGTCTTTCTCTGGTTTTGTGGTCAGATCTCGCCTTGGATCTATAGGAGCCTCCCTTGCAAAGACCTGCAAGATTTGACTCAATCCAACATGGCCATCTTGAAAACAACTCAGATTCCTAGGAAAAAACACGTCTGGTTAGTCACCCAGCAGATCATCAGGAGCCTCTCTATGATCAAACAGATGCCCATGATGGATGCTCCCATCCAGTCACAAAGCCTCTCTTTCTCCAGCCCATTTTCATCCAAGACTTCCTCGATCACTTCAATATCTTCTTTGAAGCTGTCTTCAATCTCCTCTCTTTCTTCGTTAAAGCAGTCGTCAGTCTCTTCAGCATCAGCGATCTCAAAGAAACTGTTACATTCTTCCTCAGTATCTTCCAAGAAGAAGGCAACTTCAACTTCTTCTTCATCCACGGCCACCAAGTCGTCCATCACGATCAGTTCAGTGCCTTCAGGGAAGTCTTCGACACCAGGCTTAAAGCCTTTGAAGTCAATCCTTAAAGTGTGACCTGGTTAGGAAGCCAGCCCAGGCCCGTTCTCTCAGTGAAGCTGCCAGCCCATTGAGATGAATGTAAGAAATGGATGGACTCTTGGCTCACTTTATCAGACCAATTAAAATGTGGGCTTGGTTGCCCCACTCTACCCCAACATCCCCTCCCAGAATTATTCCCCTCTCCCATTGAGACCTATGTGTTACTTCTTCAGGAGAGAGAAATAAATTTTCTTTTGGGGTTCCTTCGTGCTCCCAGATTAGGTTGTATTATCCCAGGAGGTGTGGGGAGAGGGAGGAGCCTTTTTCTGAGAGGGATGGATCATAGTATCATCCTGGACCCAGAGTTCCCACATAACTCACTAATGGGGCCATGTTGATGTCTGATGTGACCATGTACATGGTCTAGGGACAGAGAATATAGCTCTGTGCCAGAGTCTTTAAAAAGTTTGCCAGATTTTTTTTGAGTCCTCTGTTAATCAAGAATATTTTGACACTGGTCTCTTGGCTGTTCCACAAACAAGACATTCCATCTCTTGGCTCTGGTCATTTCTCTGGCTGTCCCCCATTTTCTAGAATGTTCTCCCTGCTCTGTTCTGTCTGCTGATATTCCCTAGCTTCTTTGAAGTCCCAACTAAGATTCCATCTTTTACTGGAAGCCTTCCCCATTCCCTCTTAATTCTAGTGCTTTCCCTCTATTTTCTATTTATCCCTCACATAGTTTGCTTTGTATATATTTGTCTGCATGTTGTCTCCCCCATTAAATTGTAAGCTCCTGGAGGGCAGAGACCGTCTTTTGCCTCTCTTTGTATCTCCAACATTTAGAAGAGTGTTTTTCAGGTAGTAGGAGCTTAACAAATTTTATTGAGTGAGTGATTGATTGATTTTAAAATATCTCAGGCCTGAAGGTGGGATTGGTTCAAGGGAGGGGCAAGGTCAATATGGAATGGAATGGTCAGGGAAAATATTATTGGGGTGGGGAAAACATTGGATTTAGAGTCAGAAATCCTGATTTTGAATTATATATTTTGGGCAAGCAATTTCCTCAGTTTTGGTCTCAGTTTTTTCATGTGGAAAATTAAGAGGGCTGGACTCAGTGATCCTACAGATCTCTTGAAACTCACACATATGTTCTAGATGTGACAGAAGAATAGCCTGAGGGGTGGGGATTGGTGGTAGAAGGCAGATGGTAATTTCTGTCCATTTAATATTGTTGGGGATGGGGAGGGGGCATATAGATTGATGGCATATACATGATTCTCTGATCTCTTTTTTGTTTTTAAGTACCAGCTGGGGGGGAATTTCAGCCTAATTTGCTCTTTTTGGGGCCTTCTAGGATCTTGCCCAGCAGTCATGAGTCATATCAATTATGTTGATAATTTGCCATACAATGTGGAAGGCTTATAGAAGCTGAGTTGGAGAGCATCTCAGGTCCCATTTAACTACTTAATGTAGGAATCTCCACTGTATTACCCTGATGATATTCCTCTAGCTTTAAAAATTCCCAGTGTTTGGGGATTACCCTTTCAGGCATTCCATTCCATTGACAGATGGCCCTGAGGGTTAAGAAGTTTTTCCTTCACATTAAACCCAAATCTACCTCTTTGTAACTCCTCAAACTGGTCTTAGTAGTTCTTCTAGGGATACCCAGAGCAAATCCAACTGCAGTGAGATGAGAAAAGAGGGTGGGGAACCTTGGGCCTCACTATGTCTATAAATCCCCTAAAACTTATATAGACACTAGAATAATTTTGTGATTCTAAATACTGATAAGGGAAACACCTGGGCTCCACCAAACACAGGGACAATATAGTTCCAGCCAACTCCTGTGGCCTGGGGGAAATATTCAGGGAAGTCTGTTGCTTCAGATTGGAACAAGTCTCCTCTACCCTGGATAAACCCTGTGGACTCACGACCCACTCCTAGGCTAACGGTGTTTTTTGAGGCAACTGGGTGGCTGTGGATTGTTTTAATCCAGCTCTGGATTTAGAGAGCCTAGATTCAGAGCTCACCTTTTATACTTCTGTGCAATCTCATGCAAGTCACATCACTTCCCTGGGCCTTAGTTTTCTCATCTGTAAAGTGGGCTAGATGGCCTCTGACATCCCTTTTAGCTTGAACTCTATGATCCTAAAGTCCTCCCTGTCCTGAAGGAATCAGCTGGTCCGTCTGGTCTGATTGTGCTGTTGTTCCCTAAGAAGCATACACTCCATGCCTCTGTTGTGAGACCTAGGGTGAGGGTAGAAATAATGGTTGTGGTTTATAGATACACCTGGTGAGTATCATTGGTTATGTGAAGCCTTTGCCATTCTTGCCAAAAATTCTCCTGCCCAGACCCTTCCCTTACTTGGCTTTAGGCATAGCACATCTTCATTTCTCCTCAAGATAATGTTTACAAAATATAATTAAAGGTAAGTTACATGAACTTTAAATAATTCTCTAGACCCCTCACAGGGTATGGATCTGTAAGTACAGAGGCCAGAGTGGGTATAGTTGTAGGGAGTGGAGTATAAAGTACAGCTGTAGGTTGGAGGCATTGTAGGGGCAGAAGTGGGAGTAGCAGATGTTGGGGGTATGGAGATAGAGCAGATGTGAAGTTGTAGGGGGGTTAGAGCTATATGTGGTGGGGGAGTGGTTAGGACTGAGTTGTAGGTAAGGGTGCTGCTGCTGCTGCTGCTGCTGCTGCAGCTGGTGGTGGGAGGCAGAGTGATGGGGAGATGTCTGGGGGAGAAATGAAAGCTTTGGAGGGGGCCATTTAAATTTTACCTCATCATAGGATTTTAGATCTGTAATGGATCCTAGAGCTTACCCAGTCTTCCAGATGAGGAAACCAGGGATCAGAGAGGTAAGTGTTTTGGCTAAGGTCACACACATAAGTAGTATGAGTCAGCCAACAAGCATTTATTGAGTGCTTACTGTGTGTCAGACACTGTGCTAAGCTCTGGGGATACAAAGAAAAATAAAAGACAGTCTTCTTTCAAGGAGCTCATAGCCTAATGGGGAAGACAGCATGCAAATAACTATACATCTATATGTATGTGTGTATACATACATATATATATATATATATACATATACATATATATATATATGTATGTATATGTTTATTTTTGTTTAGTCATTTTTCAGTCATTTCCAATTCTTTATGATCTCAGTTGGGGGGTTTTCTTGGCAAAAGATACTGGAGTAGTTTGCCATTACCTTCTCTAGCTCATTTTACAGATGAGAAAACTGAGACAAACAGGGTTAAATGACTCCCCCAGGGTCACAAAGCTAGTAAGTGTGTGAGTCCAGATTTAAACTCCAGGTTTATGGTGCCACTTAGCTATTTATCTTATACAGGATAAATTGAAGATAATCAACAAAGGGAAGGCACTAGCATTAAAAGGGATTGGGACAGGCTTCTTGTAGAAGGTGGGATTTTAGTTAAGACCTGAAAGAAACCAGGGAGGCCAGGAGATGGAGATGAGAGAATTCCAGATATGAGGAACAGTCAGCAAAAGTGTTTGGGCTCAGGAGATAGAGTGTTTTGTGAGAAGGACAGCAAAGAAGTCAGTGTCGTCAGATCCCAGCATATGATTGTAGAGAGGGGTGATGGAGAGTAAGGTGGAAGAACATTGGAAAGGTAGGAGGAGAGGGGGCCAGGTTATGAAGGGTTTTGAATGCCAAATAGATAAACTGAGAACTGAGAAAGACCTTAGCTTAAAAGGGCTAAGGTTTCCCACTGTTTCTAGGGCTGTTGCCAGTCATCTTCACCTGTGTATTGCCACTGGACTCTGATAACTCTGGAGGAGAGAATGAGGCTGATGACTCTGCACATCTCTGCCTTACTTCAATCCAATTCACTTGCAAGTCAAGACGTGAACCCTCCTGATGTCATTGGTCCTCTTCAAGAACAAAGGACCACCACCACCACCACCATATAGGATTTTAGAAAGTGTCAGAGCCAAAATCTGAACCTTCTGGCTATCTTTGAAACTACCTTCTCTTTGGGCAGGTTATGGTGACCTTGACCTAGGCCAAACTTTAAAGAATTGTTTCTCAGCAGATCCTGATTGACTCTTCCAGAGGGAGGCAGATCTACTTAAATGGGGGCCATGAGTCTGGAGACCTTAGCTCCCTCAGCCCCAGGACATTCCTGAGCTACAGTCTAGTTCCCTGACCAGATTCTCACTGAATCTGACTGTGAGTTGTGGGAGTCTGGGTATGGGTGGTGGGGAGGGAGATGATAGAGATGATTGGCAAGAAGAAAGAGAAGAGTGATTTGATTTATTTCGATGGAGAAGTAATATTACTCCCTTTGTTACATATATACAATGCTTTATAGTTTACAAAGTGCTATTACATAATTTGAGGTTATACATCAACCCTATGAGAGAAGGCAAGGAAGAGAAAATTTCCGGTTTAATAATTTGATAGACATATAATTTCACTGACATGGGTATTCCTAACCACACCTTCTAATCCTGTGAGACTCTTGTTCACATCCTCCTGTAAATCTTAGGGGGGGGGTCCCTCCTCTCATCACCATTGTACTTATGGGGTTTCCTTCTATGTCACTCAAGATGGGAATACCAATGAACTGTCCTAAATTAGCATACTCACTTCATGGCCAGCCCACCTTCTTTCTAATCTCTGATGTTCTCCATTTAGAGATGAGGAAATTGATGTCCAGAGGGAGGTAAGTGATTTGCTCATATAGTGGGTTATTGAAAGAGCTGAGACAATAACACCAGTCTCCTGACTCTTAGTCTTGTTGGAGAGGGAAAGGAGGATGGTAGTTTATCCTCAGTTCCAGAGCTTGAGAGGTCATCAAGATGATATGAGAAGAATCCTTTACTGAGAGTCCTGAGACCTGTGTCCTTGGTTTCTAGCTTTCTTCTCCACCCTGGGGGGAAATTTCTTTCCAAATCTGGCCCTTAGTTTACTTCTCTGTAGAATAAGAGGATTGGATCAGGTGATCTCTTAAGTTTTTTTCCAGCTCTGATGGGTGAGGTGAGAATGTAGGAAAAACAAACTGACCTGAACAAGCAGACCAAACTTTCTTATACCTATTGATGAATATTGCCCTTCCCAGAAATGTGTGATCAGAGAATGGTCTGTCTCAGGAGACAGTGAAGTCAGCAAGTCTTCATATAGAAGCTGAATGACCACTTCTAGGGATCCTGTAGAAGGGCTCTCCAATTGGGGATGGATTGGTTTAGATACCCTTGGAGGCTCATTCCAACTTCTTGTGTCTTGTCTTTGGGAATGGCCTTTGGAACTTGCAATGCATTCTTTAAAAAAAAAAAACCCAAACCTTTTTATTAATATCTTTTACTTTTTTTCCCACTCCTTCATTTCTGAATATACTGCTCTTTCTTCTTTGTAACAAAGAGTAAAAAAGGAAAGGGGAAAAATATTCAATCAAACTAACACATCAATCAAATTGGACAGTATATGTAATGTTTCACAGCCATATTGCTCCCGTCATTGCAAGGAAGGGAAGGAAGTATACATACTTATATACATACATACATAACACATATACATATATATGTACATACATACATATATATATTCCCTATATTTCTGTAGGGCCAGGTTTCATCATTGTAATTACAGGGCTGAATTTTGTTTCTTTGTTCTTTCCATTTACTTTGTTGTAGTCATTGGGTACCATACTGTCTTTTGATTACCTTTACTGAGGGGAAATCTTCATTTATTTAATTTGTATGAATGGCCCAAAGTCATTTAATGATAAGACTGGGCAATAACGGGGTTGAATGAGCAAGTGGTGAAATTCCTTTGAACAATGATGATTTATTTTCTTATGTGACTCAGAATCTGGTTCTTGATATATCTTGGTAACTATGCAAAGACATATGTCTATGTGTGGGTGACCATTTCCCTTGCTTGTTTTTAGTCTTTCCTTTCTTACCTTACACTAACTATTCTCCCCTATTCTCAAGGCCCTGATGCTTTAGGAATCTGTTTCCCACACACAGCTTGCTCATTCTTTTTGGCCTATGGGTTACCAGTACTAGACTAGATCAAATCCTTGGTGCCTTCACAATTTCCTTCTTGAGAGCTTCCCATTCTTTTTGTGTTGACTTCCCCTGTAGAATTTTAGTTTATGGGATCTATCTATCCTTTATCCAAATACTTTGAAATCTACTTTCCCAAAATCAAAGGTGCATTTCTGACCATTCCTGGCTCTTCTCTCCTTCCCTCTAATGTTCTTATCCTTTCTACTCTGACAATTTCTCCTTGTTAGTAAATATCAGATCCAGATTTGAGGTTCCCCTGTTGATACTTCTCCATCTTTTGAAAGATAAAATTATCACAATGGGAAAAATTGAGAAATTATTAGTTGTTCACATATTTTGATAACTGAAATCCCTTAATACTTCTACATCCCACCTTTATGTCAGACTTGTAATGTTTTCTGAACTAGTCATCTATTATGCCTTTTAAGTCCAGGTGGTTGGTAGTATATTGACAGCATGATTTCTGTTTTCACCTCCATTGACCTTCCAGTCAGTGCTTTCCACTGTGTTTCTCCACTCTGGTTCTTGAGTTTCCTTACAAAAGGATGTCATCTTAATGTATGCTACTCAGCTCCTCCTTTCCCAATTGTATTCTTTTTCAATGTCATGCTCTGCCATAACCATTTTCTGGTCTTGGGTCCCAACCCATCAAATCTTACTTGTGTCTTTGAGGTTGGATTGTATAGAGAAGGTAAAGGAGGCCTGAGGGTGAGAAGAGACTAAGCCAAAGTGCCATAATGAGTTTATGTTAGAGCTGGATTTGGACCTCAGGTCATCTCACTCCCAGCTTCCTAGTCTGGTGCTCTTTTCTGTTACACCAACTTGTCCCCTTGTCTTTTTTCTTGTCATTCTTGTTGTCTGGGATACCCTTTCCTTCTCCTCAGCAACTTCTATCAGGCATCACCTTCAAACCTTGTCTTGAAACTCACCTCTGAAATACCTGTGTGATCATAGGCAATGACATAGGTCATTCTTTAGTATGTGCAGGCTGTGCTGTGCCAAATGACCTCACTTATTTACTGCATTGTGTATAAGTGCTTCTTCATTTAGTTTGGATGGCATCCAGGATCAGAGGACAGCTTTGTCTCCTTTGTTTTAGGTTTTGGTCAACATGTGTTTCTTCATTTGGCATCTATTGGATGGCTCTAGAGTTGTGAGGGATGTAGCCTCTGCCCCTGAGCTCACAGTCTAGATGGGGATATAAGACTCACTCGTTTGAAAAGCTAACTTACCAGTTCTCCACCATCTTCCAATTGTTGCTTTTCGTGCTGTGGAATAAACTCAGGGTTATCAAAAGCTTTGCTAGTAGAAGGCAAGCTGTGGTAAGTCTGATAAGATGGACTGTGTCTAGCCAAGTTTGGAGAGGCTGCTCACCATATCGTTGATTACTAGGGGGTGAATAGCAATTCATAAGGCATGGAGGAGTTGGGATCTACACCAGTCGGTAGAGGGAACACCCACATGGAAGAAATCCTAGGACCTTTAAGTTTAGAATCAGGAGATCACAGATTCAGAGCTGAAAGGGATCTTAGAGGCCATTTAGTCCAAGGAACCCTCTCAATTTACAGAGGAAGAGCCTGTGGTCCAGAGAGATGGTGTCTTGCCCAAGGTCATATAGGTAATGACAGAGGAGGGATTCGAACTTAGTTCCTCTGACACCAAACCAAAGCTCTTTGCAATGTGCTGCCAAATAAGCAGAATGGAAGAATTAAAAGAGACCTAAGTGATCATCCAATCTAATGTCCTCCTTTTAGAGTTGAGCAAAAGAGCCCAGAGAAAGGAAGACACTTACTCAATGATCATCCAGTGAGTCCAGGTCAGAGTGGGGACTAGCACCCTGGGGTCCCAAATCCATGGCTGGTGCCATCCTACTTTGCTCCCTTAGTCCATGAGAAGCAGGAGGAGAATGGGTAAAGGGGTCTGACTTTGAGATGGTAGAGGGCTCTTTTCTCCTTCCCTGACCTATAGGCCTGGCTCACAGGACTTCTTGCAGGCACAACAAGGATGTGGCTGTTGCTTGGGTTCCTGTGCGGTTATAGTCTGCTGAGCTGTGTCCAGGGAAATGAAGACTTGGGAGTCTTATGCACCATCAGTGAACAGGAGATTCAGAAGGGTGAGTGATGACTCAGTGTTTGCTGTCTGTGTCCTAGGAGATAAGTGGAGACTGTAGAGATGAAACATAATGCTTCCCAGCTCTCCAGACCCCAGATCAAGGCTGGGATGTCCCATATTTTCTCTGAATCTCTTCAGTCCCCTTGCATCTACAGAAGAAAGATAAGGATTCATGAGAGGACTGGATAAGGATTGACTGAAAGAACCAATTGGGGATACTTTGGAGAACTAGAGATATTTATGCTAGAGTAGAGAAGACTTAGTTGGGGATGGTGGATTGGAGAAGTGTCTTCAAGTATTTGAAGGGCTATTATTTAAAAGAAGGATTAAGTTTGTTCTGTTTGGGTACCAGAGTACAGAGCTAGGAACAATGAATTGAAGCAGAGAGACAGAGTTTGGCTTGAACTATTCAGTGACAGCTTGGCCATTAGAGCTGTCTAGAAGTAGAAACAGGCTGCCTTAGGAGATAATAGGAGTCTGTTGCTGTAAGTCTTCAGTTGGAAAGTGGGTGACCACTGGTTGGAGACGTTGTCGAGATCATAAATTCAGAGCTAGAAGAGAGGTCATCTTTATCTTCAGAGGTCATCTAAATATGACATTATGTCAGGCATAGTCTAGACTTGATAGCCCGGAATGTCCTTCCAGTTCTGAGATTTTGTGATTTTGTGAGCCACTGGGGCTAGTTACTAGGACACTAGACTCCTGGGCTCTGGCGGCTGATCTCCTCTTGCTCTCTTTTCTGTCACCTGGGAAAGGATCTCCAGGGTGCAGTGGAAAGAAGGCTAGGTTGGAGGCACATAGAGGATACAGGTTCAAATCTTGGCTCTGCTAGTCACTACCTGTGTGATCATGGGCAAGTCACTTAACCACTTTGTGCCTTAGTTTTCTGATGTATAAGATGAATGGGTTGGATTAGATGATGATGATAATAATAATATTTATATAGCACTTTAAGATTTGTAAAACTTTTTATAAATGTTACCTCGTTTTATCCTCATGACAATCCTAGGAGGTACTATAATTATCCCCATTTTATAGATGAGGAAATTGAGGAAGACGGAGGTTAAGTGATTTGCCCAGGATCACGCAACTAGTATCAGACTGGATTTGAATTCAGGTCTTTCTTACTCCAGGTCCAGCATTCTATCCACTTTGTCACCTGGCTGCCTCTAGATGACCTTTGATGATCCTTTTAGCTCTAAACTTATGTTCTTATGGATCATTGCTCTTACCTTCCCTATTCCTCACAGTATTGGACAGAATTGGACATTCTATCCAATTTTCTAGCCAATCTTCTTGCAACTTTTTCAAAACCCTTTCAGCAAAAGGTCATAAAGAGCCCTCAAAGGTCATCAACCTTAGAAGGGGAGAAATGAGTTTGGGAGCCTGGCCCTCAGGGTCCACTTCTTCCCCACTCTCTGAAACTTTGCATAGCTGGAAAAAACCTGATAAAATCATTCCTGATAAAGGGTGCTTGATTGATTCTTTTTTAGTAGGTCCATTTCCCCAAGGGAGGATTTATTCACTTTCACCCAGAGGAATGAGGGGGAGGTCAGAGAATCATGAGGTCATAGATTTAGTTCTGGAAGGATTCATGCAATGCAATGGCAGGTAGGTAGAAGAGGGGCAGATTTTTGATTGAGATGGGAGGCTGGGGTTTGTCTCTTTCTGGGTCTCATTTCCTGGGTGGAAGTCTTTGCCAAAAATAACCAACTAACCAATCAGTCAGTACTTATTAAGTGTCAGGCATTGTGCTAGGCACTGAGGACGCAGTGACAAATATGTAATAGTTCCTGCCCTCAAGAAGCTTACATTCTAAGGGAGGAGACAACATATATGTAGGATCATGGGATTGTGGGATCCAAGTGCTCGAGTTGGAAGGGGGCCTAGGAGACCATCTAGTCTGGTCTTCTCACTGAGGGAATGGAGGTCCAGAGAAGTTAAAGGAGTGATAGAAGCAGGGCTTGCACCCACATCCTCTAACTCCAGAGGCACTGCTCTTTTCCCTCTTTCCGTTGCCCCTTAATACATGTGTCCTATATTTTTAAATTCTCAAAGTATTTTTGCATGTCTTATCATATTTATTTCTCATAGTCATCCAGTGAGTTTGACAGAGCAAGTGGTATTATCTCCATTTTACAGACTAGGAAACTAAAGCCTTGGAAAGGAAATTATTTCCTTAAGGAGACCCAGTGAGTTTGAGGGAGGGTCAGACAAAGACCTGTTTAACCTCAGGTGGCAGGAGGTGCGGGGCACCCTTCTCTAACTCTGCTTGGAGTTCCTTGGTGATCTCTAGTTCCAGGACCCTCCTTCAGGCTACCTCGTGGTCTTGACCTCCTCCCTCTCTCCTCCAACCCCTTTTCTCTTTTTCAGCATGGAGGGACAAGATAATTGGAGGTGGAATTCTGGAAAAGCAGCTGAAATTGGTGCAGCTGCCTAACCTGGGATATGGGGGTGGCCTCCTTGGCTCTCTCTTGTCTGTTACCAAGTGAGTAACATAAACTAAGGGAGGTCATTAGCTTCTTCCCCATTTCCATTTCTAGACCTTGGTTCACACCTTTCCTGGTCCCTGGAAATTTCTCTCTTTTCCCTCCCTTTCAGATGCCATCCACCCTTCATGGCCCAGCTCAACTTGTCTTGTCTGACAGCGTCTTAGATGCCTTCTTTTACTGCCTAGCCCAGGGGTGGGGAACCTGTGGCCTTGAGGCCACACGTGGCCCTCCAGGTCCTCAAGTACGGTGCTTTGACAGAATCCAAACTTCACAGATAAAATCCCCTTAATAAAAAGATTTGTTCTGTAAAACTTGGACTCAGTCAAAACATGGTATCCAAGGACCCAGAAGGCCACACATAGACTTAAGGCTGCAGGTTCCCAACCCCTGGCCTGGCCCTAGTGAGCTCTAGCCCCTCATAGACCACTTAGAGCCTGGAGTTCACAGCCTCACACCTAGTCCCCTGTGACCTTGTACTTTGTCATCATCACACTTCTGCCTCTCCAGTCAGACTGAGAACAATAGGTCTTGAGGCTTGGGACTGTATCTTTCCCTTAAGCTTTTGCCTAAGGAGCAGGAGAGAGGATTTGGGGGAGGGCGTTGGTACCTTCTGAATGTGCACAGGTTGCTTTGTCTGGACCTTCTCCTCCATCACATCCCAGGATTCAAATTCTTAACCTCCTGCAGCCTGAGAATTTTCTCCATTCAGTTCTTTGAGATCTCAGTCAAGCTCAAGCCCAATCTGGGGAGCCAGCTCATTATCCTTCTCAAGCTCAATGTAGATGGCAACTGGTAAGCAGGGCCCTGGGCTGGGTGATTGCTCCCTGGGGAGATGGAGGAGGGGAAGGAACCTACTTTAGGTGGAAGGTTTCTGGAGATCCCTAGGGGGTGGGATGGGTTGATGGCCCTGCCCAGTCAATGTGACCACTAGGCTCCTTTATCAGGCACTATGATTTGCTTCCTAGGCACTCCAAAGGTCTGAGCAGAAATAGTCAACATGAGTCAGGCCTGATGATATCTAGTATCCTTGAATTATTTGGTTTATAGTAGAATTATAGAATCATGGAATCTTGGGGTACAGAATGTCAGAGTGAGAAGGGACCACAGAACATAGAAAATTAGAATATAGACTTTAGAACTGGAAGGAATCATAGGGGTCAATCTAGCTTTTCTTTAAGGCCAATCTTATAAAAAAGAAGAAAAAGAAGAGAGAGAAAAAGTAGTTCAGCAAAACTAACCCATACATCTCCCAGTCTGTCAGGATGTACAATGTTCTACACATGCAGTGCCTTACCTCTGTAAAGAAGGGAAGGAAATACTTGTTGATTGAATAATCAAAAACAATGTGTGCATTTCACACATAGCTCCCTTTCCACAGCTTGCTCAATCTTCTCTCTGGGTTGATCAACATCTCTGTGGACCTGCGTCTGAATGTGGACATCTGCCTAGGCACTTTTTCGAAAGAGACCATACAGTTTGTCCCTAACAACTGTTCAATGACTGTGGGTGCCATTAATGTCAATCTCCTGTCAGGGTAAGGGTTTTGTCATCGTGTGGGGCTGCCCATGGTCCATTGGGTAGAAGTCCGGGCATCTGTTGAGTGGATTGAGGAACAGTCTTTATTTCAGTCATACTCTGCAGGCAGTTTTTGGCTAAATTGAATTCTTCCTAGCTCAGGAACTTTGGCTGCTTATATGAAAAATTGGGATAAAAGCCAGCCTATGACCCACTTGGCACTAAGGGCTACCTATTGAGTCCGGTGGTTCAACTTAACATACATCTATTATGGGGATGAAATGTTTCATCTTTTCTTTGAAGGGAATGTCTTTGAGACATGTCTCTGGGGATGAGGATGAACTTCCTCATTTGTGAAGAAGCCATTTACATTCTTGCCCAGTCTTCCTCCAGACTAAGGAAATGGATTCAATAGTCTCATAGGAACCTTAGTGATCGTTCAGTACAGGTTCCTTATTTTGCAAAGAAGAAAATGGAGACCTGCTTGTCTTCTGAGAAGGGATGTGCCCAAGGTCATGTGGGTAGAAAATAGCAGAGGCAGGATTCAAACAAGTCCTCAGGTTGCAAATCTAAGCCTTTCTCTTTTCTATTATGTTCTTTGAAGTAGCTTATTAGGATTTTTTTTTTGTTTTTAGTCCTTGATTGAAAAGAATACGCACTGGATGAGTAAGAGGACTTGAGTTTTAGTTATGAGCCTTTTACTTGCTACCTCTGTGATACTGGGCAAGTCATTTCCCGTTAATGGGTCCTAGCTCTCTCACCTATAAAATGAGGAAGGTGGACAAAATGACCTCTAAAGGCCATGTGATTTCTCACCATGCACCTCACTGCCAATGGTAAATTTCTTGATTGCTCTGACTATCCAGCTCCATGACTATTTTTGTGTTCAGTCATATTCAGTCATCTCTGACTTGTGACCCTATTTGGGGTTTTTGTGGCAAAGACACTGGAGTGGTTTGCCATTTCCTTCTCTAGCTCATTTTATAGATGAGGAAACTGAGGCAAACAGGGTGAAGTGGCTTGCCCAGGGTGATGCAGCTAGTAAGTGTCTGAGGCCAGATTTGAACTCAGGAAGGTATTTTCCTGATTCCAGGCTTGGTGCTCTATCCACTGCTCTACCTAGCTGCCCTTCCATGATGACATATACATGTATATATGTGCATATATGTGTATATATATATATGTGTGTGTGTGTAAAAACAGAAAAAGAGGGGCAGCTAGGTAGCGCAGTGGATAGAGCACCGGCCCTGGAGTCAGGAGGACCTGAGTTCAAATCTGGCCTCAGACACATAATACTTCCTAGCTGTGTGACTCTGGGCAAGTCACTTAACCCCAATTGCCTCACTAAAAAACCCAAAACCAAAAACGAGAGAGAGAGAGAGAGAGAGAGAGAGAGAGAGAGAGAGAGAGAGAGAGAATGAGAGTGAGTTAGTTTCCCTAGGAGCAATGTGTCATCTCTTCTTGGACCCTGCTCTGTGAGCCTGGGTCTCCTATACTCTGCTCATAACTTGGTTTTCTGGGGACAGCCCACCTGGCTTAGGGCAATCTGTCTAGTTCTTCTGTAATCTTGTTTCTTCTCCTTTTTTTTCAGCCTGCTCCCTATCCAAGCTCAAATGTTAATTGGGAACAGCCTAAGGGGGATGCTACCATGCTTGGTGAGCTCCAGACTGCCTCAGGAGTCCTGCTTTCCTTTTCTCACTGCTTTTCCCTCTCCCCCTCCTGCTGGCCAATGACTCTATGGTCCCTGGAGAACTGGGCTATCAAAATAATAATAGCAGTTGACATATCTAGAGCAATAGTATTTACAGAGCACCTTACACTCCCAGCTTATTTTCAATTTAATTCGATTCAGTAATTCAGTGAACATTTGTTAAGTGCCTATGATGTGCCAGGCACTGTGCTTAGTGCTGGGGATACAAAAAGAGGCAAAAGACAGATCCTGCCTTCAAGGAGTTTACAATCTAATGGGGGAGACAATATGCAAATAAATATATAAAAAACAAGCTACATATAAGATAAATAGGAAATAATTAACAGAAGGAAGGCATTGGAATTAAGAGGGGTTGGGGGAGGCTTCCTGTAGGAGGTGGGATTTTAGCTGGGACTTGGAAGAAGCCAGGGAGGTCAGCATTTGGAGTGGAGGAGGGAGAGCACGCCAGGCATGGAGGCCAGCCGGGAAGAATGGCCAAGAGATGGAGTGTCTTGTCAGCAAGCACTGATTAAGTGCTTACTGTGTACAAGGCACCATGCTTATTTTGATCCTCACAATGGCCCTATGAAGCAGGAAATGAAAATATTATTGCCCTCATTTTAGAATCAAGGAAACTGAGGCTCTGAGAAGTTAAATCAATCGATGAAGGTTGTACAGCTAGTAAATGTTGGATCTGAGAGTAAAACCCAGGTCTTTTGGTTCTAAAATAAGGGCTGCTTCCATTAGGGTGGCACCATTGCTGCCTCCCTAAAATTAGTTTGGTACTCTTAGGTTCACAGTCAATTGTATAGGTCCCTAGAAATTCTGAATAGTTTCCCCAGGGTCAACAGCGAAATAGTGCCAGATTAGCAGGGCTCAGTCTTCTCTAGCCCAGGATTCTCAGTCAGTGGCTCCCTCTTGTGGCTGTGTTGCCTCTGGTTGGCACAGTGCAAGGTTTGAAGAAAAATGCTCAGAGCCAAGTGTCTTACATTTTCTTAATAGTAGCTCAAATTTCTATAGTGCTTTAATATTTTTAAAAGAGCCTCTTTCTTACAAGAATTCCATGAGGTATCCAGTGTAAGTATTGTCATCCTCATTGGATAGATAAAGGAACAAGCCCAATAGGTAGAAATTCTTACAGTGACTTGCTGTATCTCCTACTTCCCAGACCAGCATTATTTTTTCCATATGATGAAACCACCATCTAGCACAGAGCTACACATTCTTTTCAAAAATCTATTTATTTATTTATTTATTGTTTGCAACATTCATTTCTATAATATTTTGAGTTCTAAATTTTCTCCCCCTTCCTCCTCTCCCCCTTCCCTAAGACAGCATGCAATCTGATATAGGCTATGCATGGACAATCATATTAAATGTATTTCCACGTTAGTCATGTTGTAAAGAAGAATTAGAGCCAAAGGAGAAACCACAAGAAAGAAGAAACAATTAAACAAAGAGAAGACAGTGTGTTTCGATCTGCATTCAGATTCCATAGCTCTTTCTCTGGATGTGGATAGCATTTTCCATCATGAGTCTTTTGGAGTTGTCTTAGATCCTTGTATTGATGAGACCCACACGTTCTTACCATGGTATTGCTGGCTGTGTGATTACCCAGTCATTGGACAGTTATTTGTGCTAGGTGTGGGGGTGAGTAGGGAGAGGAGTGGGCTAGGCTCGGGGCATTCTCTAATCACCACCATCATCAGTGAGAGCCAGCATAGCCAAGGACCCAGAATTAGCAATGGGTTGAGCCCCAGGGGCCCATCTATCCAAGGACTGTGGGAGTTTATTCATTTATTTGTTCATTCCCTCACTTATCCATCCATCCTTTCAATAGTTCATTGCCCTCACACTGGGCTAGGTGCTGGGTATTGGCTTAGCTCCTTTCTACTTCTTGGCAGCCTCTGGGCCTGATGTCCTAAAGAGGCAGTAAACATCAGAACAAAGAGGGCGATTGCTGCAGAGAACCTGGGTTAGAAGAACCCCAAGGTTCTACTTAGTGTAAGATATTCCCTTGAACAGGACAAAATTAGCCTCATTCTTATTTTAATATTAGCTACCATCAATATTGAAGAGCTTGTTATATGGTCATAATTTTAAACATTGTAAGGTGTTTAATGATGTAATTTTAAACAACAATAGTTTAATACATTGGAGGGATCCCTGATGGCTGTGTTTTCTCAGGGCCTGCCCATCTTCTCTCAATCTGCCCCCTGCATAGATCTTTAGACACGTTCATAGTAAGGTGTCCTAATCTGGTGGTAGCCGAGACCTATGACTGTCCCCCTCTCTGGCCCTGTATTCCTCCAGATTTGTCCTGTGGCGAAGGAGGCACTGGTGCAGACCACCATTCAAATGTTCAACTCCATCAATTGTGAGTTGCTGGCTCCCACTCTGACCCTGTCTTGTATTTCTCCAGTCCAAGGCTTCTGGGCTTCAGATCAACTTCTGCTTGCTCTGTGATGCTAGTGGGGCCAATATTTGGGCCTCCTTATTTAGAATACCATAGATTTTCTTTTCTCCCTCTTCCCCTCCCCTCCCCTCCTCTCTCCTTCCCTCCCCTCCCTTCTCCTCCCCCTCTCCTTCCTTCTCCTCCCCTCTCCTCCCCTCCTTTCCTCCTCTCTTCTCCTTTTCTCTGCCTTTCCTTCCCTCTCTTCGTTTCCTTCTTCTCTCTCTCTCCCCTTTCCTCCCCTTTTACCTTTCTTCCCTCCTCTCCCTATCTCATCTTTTCTTGAGACTTCTCAGGCAATCTACCAGATTCTCTGAGCTTTGCCTATGCTTGTTCCTTGCCTTCTCAGGCCAGAGGTTTGCTGGAGTAGTTCAGAGAGTGAATTGTCAAACTTTCAGGGTGAACATCTACACTTTTGATGTAGCAAATGCTACAAATGTCAATCAGAGCTTGACTTATTATTTTGTTGATGGTTTAGGCTTAATAAAATTATGGGAAAATGCCTTAATAATGAAGATTAAATTTAAAAGTGTGTTGTATATACATTATTTTTCCCCAGAGAGCTGATTATTAAACATTTACAAATACACCCCTGTTTACTTGGGAATTCACAAAGGGCGGGTCTACCGTAGGCCTTTAACCAATCTTGTCTCTCTCCCCCTTCCCCTCCTTCCCACTCTATCTCCTCTCCCTGTGCTCCTATAGCCCTGGCTCCCCTGGGCACACTGGGAACAATTCGGTACACACTTGCTGGATCCCCTGCCATTACAGGCCAGACTGTGGATCTTAACATCATTGTGAGTATGAATTTTTGGAGGTTGCAGAAGAAGGAGGATACTAGGAGCCCTTCTTTCAAGCTTAGCTTTCCTCAGGGCTCTTTACTTCCATGGCACAAGGGGTTTCGGGTAACTGGAGCCCCCTCCATATATACTCCAAGCTTGTTGATCTCACAATCAGGTCCTCCAGATATTTGTCATAGGATTGTGGTAGAGGTATGGAAAGAGAGTCTCTGTCGTCCCCTCCCCCCCCGCCCCGCCTCAGCTTCTGATGATGCTATGCCTAGGAACCTGCAGGAGTCCAGGCAAAATCTCTATTTGTGGGAATGCTGTTGCCTGTTTCTATTGCTCACTGCAATCATTGTGAACACTGTCGAGTGGCGCTTCCTTGGGGCGATGCCTAGAGGGACTTGGAGGGGAGGTGGTAGAGTCTCAGGTACTGCTGGCTTTGTCTGGATGTATCTGCTCCTCTTTCTTTGCCCCCTTCAGGTTGCTGTCCGACTGATGGAAGGTGGCTCCGTTAACATACCTGCCAACTTAACCCCGGTTGCCCTTCCAAGACTGGATGGATACATGGTCTCCTTGGGCATCCATCAGTCCTTCCTATCTGTTATCCTTTCCATTCTCATCAACCTTTCCCCACCTGTGTTTACCTGCAATCAGGAAATGGTGAGCCTGGCACCCTCTCCTGACAGGGATAGCATTTCCAATCCTTCAAATTTGGATTTCAGTCTGGGTTGAAAGCTTCAATTGCTTCCCCTAATTCTGCCATCAACCTTTCTATCAATAAAAATAGAATAGTATTATATCTGGTGGTCTGCCTGCCAGCAAACTCAGCCTTCTGGGGAAAAAAAAAACAGCACTACTCAAAAGTAAGCATCAAAAGCTTCTGAACTCCTGAAATAGTCACTTCTTTTATTATTGGTGCTGTTTTTGTTATTATTTAGAATTGTACGTCATTGTAGAAGTCCTTACTGAGAGCCTACTTATTCTTACTTTATATGTAATTTTAATAATACTTTATTTCTCCTCAATTACATGTAAAAATTTTTTTTAACATTTTTTTAAAGTTTTGAGTTCCAAATTCTTTCTTCCTCCCTTCCCCTCTCCCTGAGGTGGTAAGCAATCTGATATCCGTTATACATATGCAATCATGTAAAATAGTTCCATATTAGTCATTTTATAAAAAGAAAACTCAAACTATAAAAAGGAAGAAAGAAAGAAAATGAAAAATAGTGTGCTTGGGTCTGTATTCAGACACTATCAGTTCTTCCTCTGGAGATGGACGGCATATTTCATCACCATTCCTCTGGAATTGTCTTGTATTGTTGAGAATAGCTAAGTCATTCACAGTGGTTCTTCGCACAATATCACCATTACTGTGTACACTGTTCTCTTAGTTCTGCTCACCTCACTCTGTACCAGCTGATGTTAGTTTTTCCAGCTTTTTCTGAAATCTGCCTGTTCATCATTTCTTACATCACAATAATATTCCATTATAATCATGTACCACAATTTGTTCAGCCATTTCCCAATTGATGGGTATCCCTTCAATTTCTAATGCTTAGACATCACCAAAAAAAACTGCTATAAATATTTTTGTACAAATAGGTCCTTTTCCCTTTTTTAAAAAAAATCTGTTTGGGATACAGACCTCATAAGTGGTATTGCTGGATCAAAGAGTATGTGCGCACACGATGTAAACATACACACAAACACACACAGAGCTCACATTTCCATGTTACATTACTCACAGAAATCCTATGAGGTTTGTAGTTCATGTATTATCATCTCTGCTTTACCACTAAGGAAATTGAGACTAAAGCATTATGTCTTGTCCATGGTCACAGATGGGGCAAGTGTCAGAGCTAGGATTTGAACTTTGGTAGGTCTTCTGACCTTATTCACATTGGTTCCATCTTGGAACCTCTGAGGCCATTTGGCCTTTCCCTACAGACTGACTTGTAGTCAGTTTGAGTAGTATTCCCATTCTACAGATAAGGAAATAGGTGCATAGAAGAAAAGGAATTTGTCATCATAGATCTAGTTAAATTTTGGGGGCAGGAATGGAACTCACTTTTTCTGACTCCCAGTCCAGAGTTGTTTCTACTATAGCGTGTCTCTTTTATACAGACACACACACGCGCACCCCACCCTCATACATGTGTGTACAAAAGTATATATGCATGCATTCATGAATATATGTGCGTGTATGTTTGCACACATAAGATATCCCATTCCTTGAAAACTCCAATAAATCAGGTATGACTGGAACTTCCTCTACTTCCTGTCTACATAGGGCTTTGCAGTTCTGTGAGGGAAGCAAGGTGGATATTAAGGAGAAGAATGGAAACTGGACCTCAGGTTTCATTGGCATGGGGAGCTCCTAGTTGGGGAAATTCCCTCTATGATTGCAGTTTTGCACCTTCTCTGCAACCCATAGGTCTACAGAGTTGCTTGGGAGATTAAGAAGTTAAGTTACTTTCCTAGGGTCATACCACCAGTATGTGTCAAAGACTGCCCTTGAGCTTGGGTCTTGCTGGCCTAAGTTCTTCAGTCAGCTGAGGCTGGCTTTCTATCCCCTATGCCACACTGTTTCTCAGTGATTGGCTTTACTGACCCTGTCTTATAGGTGAAGAAACAAGCCCAGAGAAGGAATATGAGTTGTCTAAAATGAGACAGTGGTTGGTCATCTCTATGGTCCCTTCCAGTTCCATTTTTCTAGGTATATATAGAGGTTACATTAGTACCATAGACTTAGGGATGGGAAGGATCACAGAGATCATCTTGGCCAGCTCCTTCATTTTAAAGATGAGGAAGCTAAGTTCCAATGAGATCAAAATCACTAAGGTAGTAAGTTACAGAGCCAAGACTTGAACCCCGGCCCACTGGCTCTACATCCAATACTCTTTCCTTTGTAGTTTCTGTTCTTACTTGATCTTTCATTTTGGGACTTACTCTTACATTTAGCAAAGATGGTCAAGTCCCTCCCCAAAGGGTTCAAGTTGGAGTTTTGTAGGTGACTTCTATGTGCTGTGCATGGGAGGTAACCACTGGGGAAGGTGGGACCAAAGAAATCTTTATCTCTTCTCATGCCTAAGATGGAAATAAAGGAAGGCTTGAGATATGTCACTAAGAAATCAGCTCCCTGAGAAGGTATGGGAGGGATTGTGCATGGGAGGTAACCACTGGGGAAGGTGGGACCAAAGAAATCTTTATCTCTTCTCATGCCTAAGATGGAAATAAAGGAAGGCTTGAGATATGTCACTAAGAAATCAGCTCCCTGAGAAGGTATGGGAGGGATTGGGGTATGAGTACTTCATTCTGGGTTTGGAGGCTCCTGGGCTGGTCACTTTTATTTCTTCTGATGACCAGTGAAGGGTCTGGGCTTATAGTTGAGGAGGTATAGGGAAATGGATCATATCAGGGCATCTATGCCTCTCACTTAGTATTATTTTTCCCTTTTGTTTTCGCAGTTTTCTGAGTGTAACCAGCTAAAGAATGCAATCTTCCCCTTGATTCCATCTTCAGTAAGCAATTTTTCTCACTGTTATGGTACTTTGTAGGAAGATGGACCTCAAGAAACTGGATTATTCCCAGGGTTGTGTTGGTAAACATTTAACAACTGGCTGTCCCTCCCAAAAAATGTACCCATGACATACTTTTAAGCTTAATCTGCGTTATTAACGTTTCTCCATCACTTTCTTAAGTTTAGGAAATCAACAAGACAGTGAATCAAACCCTGAGTTGTAGTGTTTGCCAATTTCTGAGGTGTAAATGCTCATATTGAAAATTTAACCATTATGTCTCTTGAGCTGGCGAGGAACTGGTTCCAATACACTCCTGGTTGTTTCATTGGCAAAATGGAACCTGAGTTATACACTGCTGCATATCTTTCCCTCATCTTAGGCTGGTGAACTTTGTTTTGGCAGCCATTTCCATGAACCCAAAATCTCTAGGCTTAAACTTGGGCCAGCGCTGAGATGTGCCTATTGGTATCCTATGATTGGAACTTCTGATCTTGCCTTCCTTTTATCAAAAGCCCTTTGTCTCATCCCTTCAATGTAGTGATCCTGGAAGCTGTCGAGCTGGATAGGATCTGATTAGTTTGCTCACACTCAAATATCAGACTGATGATGGTTCATCACTCTGGGGTGCTTCAGATGGACTTTTAAATATCTTTCCAGTGTTCTCCATGTCCCTCATCCTCACCGCTCATTGTGAAGCTGGTCCTGTCAGAGCGTCCCTTGATTCTGTTGGAGGATGGCAAGGCCACGGTCAAACTGTTTCTCATCATCCAGCTTTTCCTCCAGAAGGCACATAACACCTTCTTTCCCCTGATGGTGCTGAAGGCGGTAAGGCCAGAACCATAACAGGCTGGAGGGAGGCCGGTGGGCCATGATTGTGCTCAGGGAGTGAGGGAGATGGAGGAGGGTGGCATTGTGAGGGTGTGAGGCTAGGACCAAGGCGGTCTGGTCTGGCAGGTGGGCAGTGATTATTCTCAGGGTGGGGAGGGGAATTTGTCTTCGGTGCCCTTAATTTTACTTTCTCCCTCCATATCTTCCTTTACCTTTTCCCAACCTCCCAACACTCCCCCAGCTTCCAACAGAATATAACAAATATATATTAAGTTTCTACTAGTACTGTGCTAGGGCCTGGGGTTGGTACAAAGATTAGAGAAGACTCAGTCCCTGCTTATGGTTTAGTAGGGCAAAGACCCTTTTGTACTACCTTGAACTTTTTATCCAAAACTGCCTTCATGAAAGGAGCTAACAAATTCATCCACTCTAAAGTATATGGAATGGACAACAGGTTAGCATGTGAACTCTTCCCAGGTGGATATTTCTATTATAACAGAGTTCAAAGGAATGAAAATCTTAATGGTGGCCCAGTGATAGGTTTGGTAGTCAGCTTCGTGCTGCTGATGAAATTCTCTTGTTTAGGCGGCTCCCTGCTCTGTCTGCGAGTAACGCAATTAGTGTTGGTGAGGAGGAGTAGAGGAGAGAGAATGTCTGTTTCTGAGGTAGAGGGGCATATTAGAAACACAAGATTTATCCATGGGTTATTGTTCAGTCATTTCAGTCCTGTCTGACTCTGTGACTTCATTTGGGGTTTTCTTGCCAGAGACACTGGAGTGGTTTGTCATTTCTTTCTCTAGTTCATTTTACAGATGAGGAAACTGAGGAAAATGGGGTTGAGTGACTCATCCAGAGTCACACAGCTAGTAAGTCTGAGGTCAGATTGGAACTCAGGACTTCCTGACTCCAGGCCCACTTAGCTGCTGCCTGGGAGCTGGTCATTATTGCTCACCCCCTTGCTTTGATGTTGTAGGATCTCTTCCTGAAGGCCAACTTTGTGGTTTCTGGATGCAAATTGATGATCTCTCTTTCTCTGGAAAGGTACTGGGTACAGGGGCTGGGCCATCTCCTGGGGGATGATGGTAACAGGAATCTGTCCCTGTCTGTTGAGGGAGGAGGGGGTTTTATTGACATTCTAGATAGTCCTTCTATCCCAGATTAATCTGAGCCCAATAAAAGATGGAAGGAACAAATCTGGTGTCCATGCTACTTGATCTTTCTTTCCCTCTCTTGCCTTAGCAGTAATTAATAATGACTCCCATTTTTTATATCACTTTAAGGTTTATAAAAAACACTTTATTCATAACCACGCTGTGAGGAAGGTAGGCCAGGGATCATTATCCCCATCCTACATTGGGGGAAACATCACAGAGAGGTTCTCACTAGTCACCCAGCTGCTAAGGGTAAAACCCACACAGCATTCTCTAGCTTAGGCTCCTCCCTGGGTCTGTCTCTGTTGTTTCCTGAGAGATGTCTCCTCCTTTCCACCTCCTGACCCCAAGTCCATCATTCTACCTGAGACACAAAGGTACTCACTACGAGTCAGGTCTCTTTTAAGACTCTTCCCAGAGCCCTTCAATAGGTGAAGCCAAGATAGTAGGGTTGGGAATGGTTATGGGATGTGGGGGTTTGTACTGAAACAAGATGATTGGTCCCCAGAAGGCAAGATCTGACAAAGGGATCAATCAGACCTAGGACAGCAGTAAGTCAATCTGCCAACAAGCATTTATTAAGTGCCTACTGTGTGCCAATGACTGGGAATACAAAGAAAGACAAAACCATGTCCCTGCTGTCTAATAGTGAGACAACGTAGAAGAAATTATGTATATATATAAGATATACATATCTAGTGAAAATGGGAAGTAATTTCAGAGGGAAGGCAAGAAGGCACTGGGGCTGGGGACTGTGGGGTTGGGGAAGGACCAGGAAAGGCCTTCAGCTGAAGAGGTGATCTGAGCTGAGACTTGAAGGAAACCCAGGAAGCCAGGTACTGGAGGTGAAGGAGACCATTCCATGCATGGGGAACAGTGAGTGAAAAAGTCTATAGCATTTGGAGATGGAGCATTGTGTATTAGGAATAGCAAAAAGGCCAGTGTCACCAGTTTGTAGTGGAGTGTATAAAGAAGGGTAAAGTAAGGAGAGAAGGAAAGCACTGGGTTGTGAAGAGTTTGCATTGACAGAGAGAGGATTCCACATTCATCCTGGAGGTGATAGGGAGACACTAGAGTTTACTAAGTAGCAGAGTGACATGCTCAGACTTGGCCTTGAGGAAGGTTGCTTTGGAGGATGGCCTGGGATGGAGAGAAATTTGAGGCAGGTAGACCCACCAATAGCCCAAGCATGAGATGATGAGGCCTGTACCAGGGTGGAAGCTATGTGAATAGAGAGAAGGGGAACTATAGAAGAGATGTTGTGAAGGTAAAAATGACAAAACTTGGCAATGGATTGGATATGTGGAGAGAAGAGTTGAGCATGACACTGAGGTTGTGAGCCTGGGTGCCTGGAAGAATGGTGGTATCATCAACAGTAGGGGGAAGTTTAGAAGAGAGGAGAATTTTGGAGAAAAGACAATGAGTTCAGTTTTAGACATGTTGAATTTGAGATGTCTATGGGATGTCCAGTTGGGTATATCTAGTTCTCCCAGTTGGGCAGTTGGTGGTTAGAGATTAGAGCTCAGGAGAGAAGTTAGGGCTAGATAAATATATCTGAGGAATCATGAACCCATGGGAGCTGAAGAGATCACCAAAGAAAATAGTATGGTGGCAGAAGAAAAGAGGGCCCATGAGAGATCCTTGGTGGGGGTTGGGACTCTCACCATTAGTGGGCATGAGCTGGAGGAAGATCTAATAAAGGAAACTGGAAGTGGTCACACAGATAGGAGAACCAGGAGACAGTAGTGTCACAAAAACCTAGAGAAGAGGGAGCAACCTGGAGAAGACCATGGTCAACAGTGTCAAAGGTTGCAGAGAGGTCAAGGATGAGGATTGAGAAAAGACCATTACATATGGTGATTAAAAGATCACTGGCAACTTTGAATAAAGCAGTTCTAGATGAGTGGTGTGGCTGGAAGCCAGACTTTAGCAAGTTTAGAAGAGGAGAAGAAACTGAGACACTGAATGTAGACAGCACTTTTCAAAGAATTTAGCCATAAAAGGGCAGAGACTCTATAGGACTATGGAGGAAACTTCTGGGAATTTTTTTTTTAAGGATGGGAAGATGGGTATATATTTGTAAGCTGCAGAGAAGGAGCCAGCAGAGAGGGAGAGATTAAAGATTAGTGAAAGTGGAAATGGTAGAAAGGAAAATCTGTTGGGGAAGACAGTATGGAATGGGATTGCATGTCTAGATATAGGGGTTTGCCTTGGCAAGGAGAGGGGCTACTTCACTGTGGGAGTGAAGATCTGATGCTTACTCCCCACCCTCCATCCTTAGAAAAGGTCATGAGATACCAGGGAATTTGCCTCCCTCATATTTCTGGGCCCCGCCCCCCTAGGCTAAGGGACCCTTCTGAGAAGTTGAGAGCCAGGAACTGCTTGGGGATAGGGAATGGAGATCCAGGTCAGACAAAGGTTTTTTTTATCTGTTATTTTAACATTGTCTTTGGCAGCATCTCCCTGTCCCTGTCATCTTCATCAGTGGGAAGCATTCAAGTAAGTAATTTGGAGAAGTGTGTGTATGTGTGTGTGTGTGTGTGTGTGTGTGTGTGTGTGTGTGTGTGTGTAGGGGGTCAGGGAAGACGAGCCAGAGCTTGGATGGGCCCCTGACTTTGTTATCTTTCCCCACCAGACCCTCATGCCTTTGGGCCAGGGTTTAGGGGACAGATGGTAGTCAAACCTTTTCTCTATGTGGAAGGAGATTATAGGGAAGACAGTTGACGTTGGGGCATTTGAGGCTGGTAGTCCTTTCCTAGCTGTCCCAGGTCATCTGGAGTAAAGGATCTAAGACCTGGGTGAAAATCCAGTGACTCATCCTCTGTGCTTGGGGAAGGGCTTTTGGCAAAGTCTCTGGTCACCTTCCCTTGGGCCTGAGATTTGAGGATATCTAAGACAGTGGTTCTCAGAATATGGTCTAGGGACTCTTGAGGGTCCTTGAGACTCTTTCATAGGAGTCTTATGAGGTCAAAACTATTTTCATAAAAATACTAAGGATCACATAGTGATCATCAGAGGTGATATTTGAACACAGACCCTCTGTCTCCAGAATCAGTGCTGCTTCTATTATGGTGGGACAGAATTGTGTGCATGTGTGCATGTGTATGCGTGCATGTGTGTGCGTGTGTGTGTGTATGTTATGTGTGTGTGTGTGTGTGTGTGTGTGTGTGTGTGTGTGTGGTTCAAGTAGGGTGAGAGTTCAGAGGCATGCTGGAGGCAACTCTAACCAGCTCTCAGGATTGCTAATTCTTAATTTTTAAATTTTAATTTCTAACATGCTAAATATCCATAGATAAAACACACATAAACAAAAACTCTTTGTCAGGGGAGGGGAGTCCTGAGATAAATGTTTTAGAACCACTGATCTAAGGGGATATCTCACGTCATTTGATGTTTTGGGTCTGGGGAGTCAGGAAGTAGTAGGGTATAAAGGTGCAGTTCAAAGGATCATCGATTGAGAGCTTTAAGGGACCTCAGAGGACTTTTAATTCAAAATCTAATTTTATAGATGAGGAAACCCAGGCCTAAAGAAGTTAGATGACTTGTCCAAGGTCACATAGTGGTGATCAGAGGTGGGATTTGAACTTTGGTCCTCTGACCTTGGAATTAGTGCTATATAGGGTGGGACAGGGTGTGTGTGTGTGTGTGTGTGTGTGTGTGTGTGTGTGTGTGTGTGTGTCTTTTATGTGGGGTAATAATTCAAGGATGTGCTAGAGTCAGCCCTAACTAGCTCTCCAGAAAACTGATTGTTAAATTTTCAATGTGAACATTTACATACACCTTAGAAATCAGAAAACCCTACAAATCAGGGCTTGATTTATTAGGTTTTTTTTTATTGTCTAGATTTAAGAAATTAATGGAGAAAATGTTGATAGTAATGCAGATTAAACTTAAAATTGTGTTCAGCACACCCCTGGGTGGGACCATGAGGTGATGGTGGGGATGAGAGTAGGATCATTGATGGGGTAGAAGATGGAGGCCATGTATAAAGGGTTTAGAATAGAGGGGGCAAGACTGTGGGAGCCAGGAGTCAAGTATAGCTTTAGGCAAATCTAAAAGACCAGGAGCAGGGGATGCATGAGGGAACTAGGGATGGGAGAGGGTGAAGGGTGGGAGTTGGGGTGATAAAGGGAGACAGGGGAGGAAGTAACAGTGAGAGAGAAGCGTAGGCTATGGATACAGTGGTAGGCCTGGGTAAGAAGATAGGGGGAAGCATACGAAGGGGATTCAAAGGGGCTGGGGTTAACAGTAAGGAGGGAGGAGGGAAGTAAGAGTAAAGCCGAGACATTTTATCCAAGACAACTCACTCCACTTTTCCCTCCCTAGGTATCAGGTCTCAATCCAGTGATCAGCAAGCTCCTGGAAGATCTTTTTGTCCCCAGCGTCAATGGTGCGGGACTTGTTGGCTTTGGTGCCAATTGCAGTAGAATACGCACATGCTGGCCTCCTCCCTCCCTGCCCACGTGAACTAGGAGCATCATGGCCCAGTAGGCTCCTGGTTCAACTACTTGGTTTGCTCTGCGGGCCCCATTGTCCTGCCTATCTCTGTGATCTAGAGTTCCTGTCCTCTCAGCACTACCTCCCTCCTCCCTCCTTCTTTCCCCCTCTCCACTCCCCCGGTGCCCCTGCCATGACTTCACTGGACCAGAAATGAGAAGCTGGGGATAAAGGTACAGTTCAAACGATCATAGATCAAGAGCTTGAAGGGACCTCAGAGGACTTCTAATTCAAAAATCTAATTTTATGGATGAGGAAACTGAGGCCCAACCCAAAGGGCACTTTCCCTTAATCCTCGAGATGGTGGCCCTCAAATCTCCCTTCCCCTAAGTAAGGAGGATAGGTATTGTGCCTAGTCTTAAATTGATAGTCATAGAACTTCACAGCTAGGAGAGATCTTAGAACATGGAACATAGAATGTCAGCACTGGGAAGGACCTAGAAGACCATCTGGTCCAATCCTCTTATTTTGAAGATGGGGAAACTGAGACTGAGATAGGGATGATTGTTTACCTAAGGCCACCAAAAGAGTCAGGATTAGAACTCAGATCTCTTAATTCTTAGCCCAGGGTTCATTCCCCTGTACTTTATTTTCTCTGGTGTGCTCAGTTAAGGTTTTATGGCAAAAAGAAAATCACTGAATTATTCTATCCTCGAGGAAGACTCAGCCTCAGCAGGACTTGGGCTCCAGGCTATTTTTCAGGGGAGGATTGTATCCAACTCTTCATACTCTCTTGTTTTCTTACCCCTGGGACCCATTGTCAAGTGCCCTGGCCAGCTTGACTGAGCCAGCAGTGAAGCCAACTTGGCTGGGTGGGGTGGAGGGAGAGTTGGCAGTCGTTAGCATCAAATTTGAACTTTGAGGTTAACTGTGGTAGATGCTACTGCAGTCTAATGGCTGCATGACTGTTCTAGGCACCAGGGCTTAGAGCAGAGGATCAGTGACAGGATTTCTGAATTTGAAGTTTCAAATTTAGAAAAATAGAAAGAACAGATAGATGATAATAATAATAATGAAAATAGCTAGTGTTTATATAGCACTTTAAGGTTTTACAATGCACCTCTGCATATGTTATCTCATAATTCTCACAATAACCCTGGGAAGTAGATACTATTATTATCCCCATTTTGCAGATGAGGAAACTGGGGTGCAAAGAGATAAGTGGCTTACCCAGGTCATCTAGCTAGTAAGTGCCTGAAGCAGGATTCAAACTTAGTTCTTCCAGACTCCAAGCTCAGTGCTCTATCTACTGTGCCACTTCACTGCCTCCAAATAATGGACTGAACATTCAATCAGAAGCATCAATCAGTTAATAAACATTTATAGTGCCCCAGTGGGCTTAGCTCTAGTTAGAGCTAAGACATGGTATCCCGTAAGGCCATGCTAGAAGGAGCCTCAGAGATCATCTGTTCTGACCTTCACCCAGAGAAACAATTCTCGTATTTTGAATGCTTTTGAGGTAGTCTATTAAATTATTGCATAGCTCTCATATTTCTTTCATAGACTGAGTCACATTTCACTGTGATTCTGCCCTCTGAGGGTCAAGCAGAATCAATCCAGTCCTTCCATGTGACAGTCCATATATTTGAAGACTAATTATGTCCCATTTCTCACCACCCTTCTCAATTATCCTGGGCATAAAAATTGGTAGTTGGTAGCAGTGAAGAATAATTAGCCAACCTTTGAATCAGGGTCTTGTTTGCACTTCTCTTGTAAGAAGGTAATCATGTGTTACATAGGGTCCTGTGCCTTCACTATGTGTATTAGTAAATGAAAATATTGACTGACTCTGCATGAAATTCGTACACCTAACCATCTTTGTACAGGCACCAATGGTTCTAATCATGGTGGAATATCTTAGCTGAGCAAACAAATGATTAGCCTTGGGCCTTGAACCTTGTTGATAAATGTAGGTTCTAATGAATACATTTGCTAATTGGTCTTCCCAGTTTCAAATATGAGCTGGTGCTGGGTTTCCAGCAAAGCCACAGACAATTCTGTAATGGTTTTTTCTCCATCTTTTCTCTAACTTACCTAATTATACTCTGTTTATTATTTCTAGGTTGCCTGGTTCCTGGTATCCCTCTGCCTGATGTCATGGGGATCAAGATGGTGGATTCTGTTGTGAAAATTTTATCGGTAAGTTTTCCTAAATGGGCTCTAGTCATCCTAAGGACATGGAAAATTAGTCATTTAGCCTTAGTTTCTCTAGCTGTGAAATAGGGCAATAAAAATCTCTCTCAGTTCTTGCCTCATTTTTTTTTCTCTACAACATCCTGATAAAGGTGGGTGATGTCAAATCCTGAAATAAATCAAAGCCATGAGTTGAGGAATAAATATCTTTAATTGAGATAACAGGATAGCAGGTCTTGTCCCATAAGGGCAGAACACAGCGGATTTCCTAATCAAGAGACCCATGAAAGGTTCTTTATACTTTTAGGAGGGGAGGAGGTAGTATGAGGTAACAAGGCCTGGTCATGATATCCCAGTCACCCTTGGTAATCCGAGCAAGGAAAACTACTTCATTCTGGCTGTTTTGGTCTTCATGCCATGAATCCCAATGGAAAGGGGCAAGGATATTAGAGGCTTAGATCCAAGTTGAGCTGGATTCCTTTGCAAGGCAAAATCTCAGGGTGAGGACTTAAGGTGGGATTCAGCGCAACCTCATAGACATTACCTTTAGGATAGGAATGTAAGGAAACCACTGGAATTCATGACATTGCTAGAGTGATTAAGAGACAGTGTCTGTTAATATTCCATTTGATATTAACAATTTTCTATCAGTGGGCAAGGTGGTATTATTTCTATTTTACAGATGGAGAAATAAAATCACATTGCAATGTAGTGACTTGCCCAGAGTCACTTAGCAAGTTAGTGGCAGAACTGGAATCAGAACCTAGATCTCCTGACTCAGCCCAATGAGCTTTCTGTGAAACTTGACATTGGCCTCTTTGGGGGTGGTGGGTGGGGTGGGGATGGTAGTGATGGTGCTTTGAGATCACTTAGATAAGGGGATCTTAATCTTTGTTTTTTGTGTCATGGACCCCTTTGGCAGTCTGGTAAAGTTTACATACCCCTTTTCAGAGTAACATTTTTATTTTTATTTTTTTAATTTTTTTCAAAATAACATTTTAAAATGCAAATACACACACACACACACACTCATATATAATTACAAAGTAAGCAAAAGTTAGTGAAAATAAAGATGTAATTTGTTTCACCATCCAAATTCATTGACACCCCCTCCCTCCCCCCCTCCCCTTGCAAATCCATACCTAAACTCCCTTGGGGGTTAAGAACCTCTCTACCTTAGAAAAAGCCTATTATCCCCATTTTATGGTTGAAGACATTGAGTCTGAGAATTTGAGTGAGTCAGCAAGAACCAGGTCTCATGACTCCCACTTCAGGGCTCTTTCCATCATACCACCTCTAGTATTCTCATTAGCAAGAGGATGCTTAGTGTATGTATAACTGAGAAAATGACTTTGATGATTTCTGTAGGGCCTGCTGGTGGTGTGTATATGATCTTGAGTCCTGGATGGTGAGAGATCTGCTTGGCTACCTACCTGTCTTCCCTGGGGCAAGAGGAGACTGAACTGGGAGAAGAAGCAAGTATTACATTGAAAGTGACACTCTGAAGACCGAGACTGTGCAAAGAAGGCTTGGCCCTGGTGCTGAGCTTGTTGTGGTGCTGGAACCTAGCCTGGGGCCCCCTTCAAGCCAGCTTGCCTTCCCAGCTGCTAAACTGAGGCACAAATGAACTCAGCTAGTGAGATTCCTGGTTATGGGACATGGACCAGGGTGAGGCTTTTCTTTTCATCTAATAAACAATTGCAGTCTCCTTAGCCCTCAGGGTAATTCTCTTGTCTCCTCTTCAAACTCACTCTTATAATTCTTATTCAGGATCTCTCTGGGAACCTATTGTTAGGGGATAGGGTCAGCCTGGGCTCTGTTTTTTATTGAGTTCCTAGAATGATTCGCTTTATAATGGGGACTACCACTTTGTTCAGAATGCCACAACAGGGCTCCGTAGGCTGGGGAGCCTGTTTGCCAGTTCCCAATATACTTCATTCGACAAATGATTTTGGTGTCTATTGTGTGCCCAGAAATGTTCCTGAGAAAGGTAAGAACCAGAGAGAGTTGTCCTGATCCGTATCTGGCCACTGGATCTAGATGGCTCCAGAGGTGAAGGTGAGGATGGTGACTTTGCATAGCCCTCCTTCACTTAAATCCAATTCTCTTGCATGTCATGGCATCACCTCCCTGATGTCATGGTCCTCTTGGAGAATGAAGGATAAACAGCAGCAGCGAGAACCAGAGAATGTTGGAGCTTGGAATGCAGAATGTCTGAAGGTGGGAAGACCCTTAGAGATCACCTAGTTTAATTTCCTCATCTTAGAGATGAGGAACCAGAAGGAACAGGATTTCTCCAAAGTCACTCAAATAGGTCAATGGCTGATTTGGGACTAGACTTCAAGTCCTCTGGCTTCTAGCCCCCAGCTGTTTTTCGTCCCCTATACCGTTCTGTTATTCTGAGCTTGTGGTAAACTTGCCTACCCGGGGACAATGAAATATTGTCCCAATGTGACTTTGGGTCCCAAATACCGATTTAATCCCTGTGTTTGTGTGTGTGGTGGGTGTAATAATAATTGATCTTATCCCTGGTGGTTTCTGTCCCTACCACCAGGAGTCACTCAGACTCCAGGAACAAGGAAACCAGTCACCTTATGTCTTTTATAGTAACTAGCCCGAAACTTCAGGGTACAGATTTAGGCTTAAAATACCAGAGTTGGAAGGGCCTTAGCGATCATCTTACTGTAACACCACCACTCCCAATGCTCTCCTTTTTAGAGGATGTATCTGTGGTCCAGAGAGGTGAAGGAATTCACTCAAGGTCACCCAGTAGTCTAGTGATGGAGCTAGAAATAGATCTTTTGCCTTCCCACCCTGGCTTTTTTTACATTTATAGTTGATGATGTACTCATTGATAAGATTTATTATTTGTTAGATGAGAGAGGAATTCTGTAGGTGTCTAGGACTTAGGAAGGTGGGGTCAGGATGCAGTGGTTTTTCTCATGGGACAGTAATCTTCTCAAAAACTTTAAAGCATCTGAAGGTCTTTGCTGGTCTTCCCAAATTCCAGGATCAGACTCTCTTGTCACGCGATATCAAGTATCAGCTGAATTTTGAGAGTTTATATTTCAATAAGACCCTAATGAATGAATTTGACACACAATTTGATCCAGGGGATCCAGAAGGAATGAAGAGCTAATGATGAAATTTCAGGCACTGATTCTTGATAGTGAGACCGGCTCTAAGCTCTGCACATCATGCCATGAAGGCAGCCTCCTCTTCTGCTTTTTCTGAGCAAAGATTAATCTTGCCTCCTTGAGGGTTTCCTCCTCTCAGTTTTAGCCAGAGGCATGCTAGTAAAAGTTTAACAGCCAACTGGAAGAAAAATTGTGCTTATGACATATTTAAAAATTTAATATGTATTATTCATATTTTTTCTACCCTGTAAGTGAAGACAGGGGAAAAGGAGGAGAAGGAAAGGAATAAACATTTATATAGTTTCTACTATGTGCCAGGCACTGTGCTAAAATTTTCTTTTTTTTTAAACAAATATTATCTCATTTGATTCTCATAACAACCCTGAGAGGTAGATGCAATTATTATCCTCATTTTACAGTTGAGAAAACTGAGGAAAATAGAAGTTTAAGTCACCTGCCCAGGACCATATAGCTAGTCTGAGGCTGGATTTGAACTCAGGTCTTCTTGATTCCTGGTCCAGCTTTTTGCAGACAATCAACATAACGATGAACCAAGCCCTGATTTGTAGGATTTTCTTATTTCTAAGGTGCAAATGTTCACACTGAAAATTTAACAGTTGGCTCTCTATGGAGATAATTAGGCTTCCGGATACCACTGGTTTTAGTGAACCCAAGGGAAGTAAGCTCCCCTTGAGCTACTCCTGACTTTCCTTGATTTCCTTCTTCACCAGACTCAGTGTCTTGGGGGACTATGTGGTACACTGCTCTAGGGCTTCACTTTTTTCCATATGGTTTTGCTGCTTGGTTGTCAGAGATTTTTACTGACCCTTAGCTGCTTCCCAGAAAATAACCAATTGATAGAACTATAGGTGTATATCTAGTTCAATTCAATGAATGTTTATTAATTGTCTACTATGTTCAAGCACCTGTGCCCAGTACTAGGGCTATAAGATGGAAAAAGGTACAGTTCTTACTCTCAAGAAGTTTCTAGTCTATTCACAATGCTATGACATGTATACAGATAAGTAATACCCTAAGAAAGGAGGAGGCAGCTAGGTTTTGAAGGGCTTTGACTACCAAGCAGAACATTTTGTATCTTATTCTGGAAGTGATAAGGAGCCACAGGGTTTGGAGAGAGAGAGAGAGAGAGAGAGAGAGAGAGAGAGAGAGAGAGAGAGAGAGAGAGAGAGAGAGAGTGTGTGTGTGTGTGTGTGATATGATCAGACCTGCAAATTAGAAAAATCACTTTGGCGGTTGATGTAAGGATGGATTAGAATAAGGAAAGACCTGAGGTAGGCAGACCCCACCAGCAGGCTATTGCAATAATCCAGATGTGGGGTGATAAAGACTGAATCTGGGTGGTGCCAGTGCTAGAGGAGAGGAGGAGGAAGAGTATTTGAGAGCTGTTGTGAAGGTGGAATTGACAGACCTTAGCAACAGATTGGATATGTGAGGGGATAGTGAGGAACCAGGGATGACGTCTAGGTTTTGAGCCTGGGGGTTTAGGAGGATGGTGGTGCCCTTAACAGTAATAAGGAAATTTGGAAGGGCAGAAGGTTTTTGGGAAAAGATAATGAGTTTAGTTTTTGACATATTAAGATATCTACAGGACATCCAGTTGTAGATGTCTGAAAGACATTTGGAGTTGTGAGTCTGGAGGGCAATAGAGAGATAAATAAGTCGATTTGAGAAACATCATCATCAAATAGATGTTAATTCACCAGGGCCCAGGCTAGAACCCTAAAGGACATCTCCAGTTAAAGGGCATGATGGGGATGAGAATTCAGTAGAAGAGACAGAGAAAAAGTGATTAGAATTCAGCAGAGGAACCAGGAGAGAGTGATGTTCTGAAAACCCAGAGAGAAGAGAGTATCAAGGAGAGAGTGATCAACAGTGTCAAAGGCTGCACAACAAATCTTGGATTTAGTCAAAAGGCCGCACTTAAGGATCCAGAAGGCCACATGTGGCCTCAAGGCTGCAGGTTCCCCACCCCTGTAGGAATCTGTGGACAACAGCTACCAGAATTTTGATCGGGTGTTTGATGTAGTATGAACCTCAAAGGAAGAGAAGTTATTAAGTGATGGAGTTAGGGGAGAACCTGAAAGTGGCAATGGAGAGGAAGGTACATTCTGATTCCCCCACCTTGACCAGTGAGCCAAGGGGAATAAGTGAAGGTGCAGCCAGTGCTGGAAAGAGTTATTAGGAAGATTATGCTCTGTCATGTACGTGCCAGGTACATAGGCTTGTGGCTGCTTTGGGGGAAGATGGGAGAAGACATGTTTTCTCCTGTTGGTGAATTTTTGGTTTAGTGGGAAGATGAGACACATATGTGCATCTGAAATAATAAGGCGATATAAGGCATCACATTAAGTCATGTGGTATAGATAGTAGGGTCTGAAGGAATCCAAAGATGGTCATAATCCCTGTGTGCTGGGTTAATTAGAAGGAGATTTCATTTAGGTAGCACTTGATCTACGTGTTGAGTGGTAGAAAGGAGTGGGATCGCATACCATGGTAGAAAGAACACTGGATTGGGAATCAGGAGACTCAGTTTCTAAAAGTGCTGCCTCTGACTCTTTACTTACTGTGTAACTGTGGGTAAGTCACCTCCCTTCTCTGGAGTTTAATTTCACTGTCTTTAAAATGGGTGGGTTGGACTGGATGATCTCTGAGATCCTTTCAAGTTCTAGTGTCTGATGGCCCTAAAATTTGGACAGGAGGAAGAACCACGTGCAAGCAAAACTGCAGAGAGGTAACGGTGAGCCTCCCAGTACGTGTCTGGAAAACAGGTAGTATTCCTGGAGGAAAATGAAGCAATCAGGTATTTCCCAGAGAGGGAAATGTTACAGATGGTTCTTTGAAGCTAAGTGGTGTCTCAGTTCCCTCCTCTTTAAAATGGGGGTAACTCCACTGGGCTATTGTGAGCAAAGCACTATGTAAACCCTTAAATCCTATAGAAATGGGAGATGATATTGTGTAAGCTCATGGTCTGAGGCCTCTGGGACACAACCCCCATGACCTGCTACTAGCCCAGCTAGTGCCTCTGGCCATAAGCTTGTGGGGCATAACTATACCCTTCTCACCTTCTTTTCCCCATCCTCCGTCTGGGGATAGTGTCCAACTGGCTGCCTGGAAGGGATTTGATCAGATTAGGCCTGTGGTTTAACTAGCAGATCCTGCTTTCTCTTTCTTTCCAGTTATGTTCACACCCTTTTCCCTCCCTCCCACTCCCCAGCTATCTGAGGCGCCTATCTGAGTGTCTTTCCACAAAGCGCTGTGATTTCCTGGCTCTGGTTACTCCTTAAGAGCTAGGGAGAGGCAGGGAATCCACCCTGGCAGAGGTCCCTGAGGTATTGGCGCCACACCCCATGTGCCAGGTTGAATGGCTGACAGAATGCCAGCTTTGTGCATTGTGATACAGGAGGTGACCAAAGGAACCTCCCCTGGCTCTCCTTCTCCCTTTGTTCCAAGGGCTTCATTTGACTACCAAGAAAGTATGATGGGGAGATAGATGAGAATCAGGCTGGTGAAATCCAGCAAAAA